TCACACATAAGTAAATAACACATAAGATAGGTATCTTTTTACCCTTTATCGGACGTTGCACACATTCTTGAAACGCAGCTCTGGGATGAAAGGTAGAGGATGGAGGCGTTTAATCAGGGCCTACTCTTAGATAGAGTAGGACGTGTTGGTTCACTCCTAGAATATCTAAACAATTCGGTTCTGCAGCTGACGTCGATTTCATCAAGTTATGAACGATATGACTGACTGATCTTTCGAATTGATACAACAATTTCTAGCGAGCGCTTGAGATTTTTTTTTAAATTGACATTGTTGATGAACATTTATATTGTGATCTGTGCTCACATTTTTTCTGCCGGTCATCTTTTAATCAATAAGATATCATACACAGGTGAATCTAATTGATTTTGACAGTTCAATACAAAGTTTAATCGAGGGGAAACAGTTTGATCACATGTAATACCTAATTAGTACCAGAAGTGATAATATTTCGTAGCCTGCTAATTTCGTGAATTGTATTGTTATCAAATAGGTATCTAGCAGTAGGCTACTGACTGATATCGAAAAAATCTGTTTTGGCCCAAGCTAGTTTTTAAATCAATTAATGGATAATTTTTCCCCAATATTTACCATTCAGTTTGTCGCCCAGTGGTACAAAGTAAATGATAAGTAAGAATTTTTTTTTTCGAAACTGAGGATTAAATTTCGAAAAACGTACGTTAGGTACCTTCTTGACTTAAATATGTATACCAGCATTTGAAAATCACCTGGTAGACAAATATTATTGTCTTTGTCACTACTTGCACAGGCTGATACAAAAAGAGCAGATGCCACATTTCAACATCGAGATACAGGAAACCGAGGAATTTGAAGAATATTCGTTTGAATTTCAATATATTTCATTTAATTTATATATTCAGAAGGTAATTCTTACAGTATCTTGATACATTATCATACGCATTTAATTGGGAATCCACAAACTTAACAGGAATAATTTATACTTAGAGAGAATATTGACAAAAGGGTAAATCATTTTAGGATCAGTAACAGTTTTTTTGCAGACGAATGATTATGAAGACTTATTCTCATTCTGGGTCATAGGGACAAAATGCCCCTATAAAGAATATTTACCATTTTTTCAACGGCTCGTAAAACTAAGTATCACAGAACAGGAGTATCACTAATTCAACTTTATTTAGTTATTATTGTCAATGTGTCCATATTTGATCTTCATAAATACAATGTAAATATGATGATCGTTATGCATACGTACCATGGAAGAAAAGACTACCATTACCCATATAGCACTCGACGTCCTGGAGACGTCCATTTCAGGTCCGATTTAGGTCTGAATGTCCGGGGCCTTTTCAAGACGTACTGGGTACGTACGATTCCGATGGTCGGAGTACGTCCAACTCTAGACGTTATCGACTTTTTTTGGACGGAATTGAATACTTTGTGTAATGAAATATTTGAAATCATTGCATATAATTTCTACACTCGATCTCTGATATCTATTGCAAACATGAACATAATACAACTCTCACAATTCATTTTTCACTGGCCGTATCTGCCCGGTAATCTAAAGGTCGCGGGATCTATCTTCGGTAGGAGCGCTTTTTTCATTTTTAATTCAAAATAAGATTTATTTTACTCTGTCTAGATCTCTTTTTTCAACTATCTGAGTAAAAAAGGCAATTCTACGTTGATTCAGGTATCCATGGTCCTGAATGGTACGGGGGATGTACAAATGCGCGGAATCTGGACGTCTCCAGTACGTACCTAGTACGTCTACGGTCCTAATCTGGAAGTCCCCAGTACGTACTCGTGCTGTATTGGTATTACTCTGGGACCAAGATTATATCCCGAGAGATATAATTAAGGTCCCGTGGTGATAACATTCACAACCAGAAGTGTATACTTATTGCATTTTTTCCACCACCAGCAAAGTTTTTCAATAATTATAGGTCTATAGAACTGGAGAGGATAGTTCGAAAGCGCATAATTTTTGTTTATAATGAAAATCTATTCGTCGTTATTGTAGAAATTGTAACAAGTTAGGTAACGCGTAATTCTGTGACGATGAGTTTTTTTTTTTAGATATAGCATTGCAATGTGAATGCAGGTTAACAATCATAGTGGCTATGTCTTTATGAACCACCAGTTGAAAAAATTAAAAAAAAGCGATAAAAAAAGGTAATAGATATAATGGTAGGCTCTAGGGCTAGGGGTGGAAAAAGGCATTTAATTAATTTTGGGATAGCCTAATTCTACGTCAACTATGGGTATAGTTTATGCAAAGTCAGTTGGAAAAACACATCACCGCAAGCCGTCGGTCCCTTTGAAAGTTCAAAGAGTGCGGCAGCGCGGCCCGACATTCGTTTGATGATCTGTTCAACTGACTTTGATTAAACTAGATTGCCATATTAATACCATATACGTATTAATAAACAATACGGATCATAACGGGTGCCAGGATGAAGCCAAAAATATGAAACAAATGAATATCCATAAGGATTTGGTGGCATGATACGAAGTCATCAAAGACATGCGTTTCGGTGGACAATGACGTTTACTAGCCTTTCAATCAAAGCAGTATGTGTCTGATCGTATCTCACTTTTCGTTATGGATAGTCATTTGTCTTCAAAAATCGGCTTCATGTTTCGCTATGGAAACAGATAGAGATTATCCGTATTGATTATTAATACGTATATGATTAATACATATAGATATTTAGTGACCTAATTAAATGAGGAAAGGAACTGCGGATTTCTGGACTCAAAATAGACTTACGACCGAGCTTACGACTTACCTAACCATACAGCACAACACATCCATTTCAGGTCCATTTAGAGTCAAAACGTCTGCAAACTTTCAATGGACGTCAACTGTACGATGTTCGTCGTCCATTCAACCACCATTCAGTGTTAAAATATATCTATGGACGCACGATGAACAAGCAATGTACAGGCTGATTCAAACTTTTCGCCCTCGTCTTATAATAGAAGAAGGAAAACTGCAGATGCAGATTTGGCAAGGGGGGATTTGAATAGCTGTGTGTAAGGTATATTTTGTCGTATTCAATCATTTTTCAAAATGGCGAAAATGTCGTCCGAAAATAGTTTTTTTACTAGGCAGTAAAGAACTATTGCATCATAGTCGAGGGTACGAAACCAGCCAAGGCATGGAATCTTCTTTTCGGCCATGTGGAACATATTGTTTTCTACAAATTCGTTCAAATTTCACACAAACCAATTGTCTATTTTTTTATTGAAAACTCCATCATTTTGTGTTCACCCAATGTCATTGTGAATTTTGATTACCAATTTGATTCAAATTACTTGGAAAGTTGCATAGCAACAAACTTTTTTTGCCTAGGCAGTAAAAATACACTTTCTATAACTGTTAAGTGACATAGAAAATCCACTTTTGATGTCATTTGGAGAAAAAATTATTTTCCCACAAAGTTGCCATTTTTTTCTCACATTCTGAAAGAACTAATTTCCTTGAAGTACTTTCATCCAATAAGTTGATTTCCTTCTTCATTTGGTTGAAAGCTACAAGACTCTGAAGTTGGTATTTTTAAATGAATCTCTACTGACCCCGTCGTAATAAAAATCAAGCCTTCCGGGTTTTAATCGATTTCAATATGAATGCAAAATATATCGCAATTCATATTGTTCACAAAACAATTTGTTTCCCGGCTGATTTGATTTTTATTACGGCGGGATCATTTGATAATGCCAACTTTACAGTCCCATAGCTATCAACCAAATGAAGATAGAAAAAACTTTCTGGATGAAAAAAATATGTTCTTTCAGAATATGCGAAGAATATGGCAACTTTGTGGTACAAATATTTTCATTGTCACCATTTCCGTCATTTTGAAAACGGTTGAAAAATGTTTTCCGAAAAAATATATCTCACACACAGCTATCCAAATTCCCTCTGCCAAATTTGCATTTGCAGTTTTCCTTTTCCTGTTATGAGCCAGGGGCGGGAACTTTGAATCACCCTTTTTTTATCTCTTGGAGCGCACAAAAAGAAATTCCTATAATGTTCGTGGAACATCGTGCGTATCTAGGGAGGAGTGGGATAGGAGTAGGTATTGGAATTTGTTTTAAAATTTTGGAGGTTATAAGTTCTTGGGATCCCACAGGGGCTCACAACTGGTGAGTACGGGAATGGCAATCTCGAGGTACTCATTAATCTTCAACTTGTCTTGGATGGTAGCCTCTTCACCATTAGGTTTTCAAACTCTTCTATCGGCCTCTCTTGGCCAATTCTTTTGTTTTTCTTCTCCCCTAAAGTCCAACCTCACCATGGTGCGGGAAGGACAAACCGTGGTTTCTCGGCAGATAGAGGATTTTGCGGACATCTTTGCTCTCAACACTCAGGACATCTGATTGCAAGGATGGGGCAATTTCTGCACGTCTGCTCATGTGGCCGCGGATTGATAACGAGGCTCTAGCAACTTAATCCAAGTTGTGGGAACCCGTGACGAGGTTATATTGTGTCGATAATGGGACCTCTGGAAAACAGGGCGACATCTCAGAGAAAACAGCCTTAGCTCTGTGCAGGGGGCACCACAGGCTGGACCAACCCCTTCCCGCATAACTCGTAGGAGAAAGAGAACTTTTGGCCTTAGATTTGGTTTTTCATTTGAAACTGTCTTCACGAACATCATAAGAATTTCCTTTCGTGCGCTCCAAGAGAAAAAACCAATCATCAAATCAGAGATATCAAGAATGAAAATAATCACCCACAAGAATTATTTGATTGATTTTGAAATGTTATAAGTGTGATTTAGAATCGATGGAAGGGGTGCAACTCAGGGTGCATAATGACAATAGGTATTAAAGTACCTAGTTTTTCAAAAATCTTTTGAAAACATTTTGTTCACATCAGAGGCTCTGATTTGTTTTGACTGGTCAGTCTATTTTGAATCCAGAAATTATCGATTCTTTCATTTCTTCATCAAATTGGGACACCTTACATGAATCAGTGAATATCTGCTAGCTTAAATTTGTCCATTCAATAGCAATTGTACTAAAGTTGTTCTGATGAAGTCTGTGGAAAATCTATTCATACTATAATCAGTAACAGTTGTTAAATAGTTATCACTACAGGTAATATACTTATGAATTGACATTCTCTCAGAAATACTACTACTAGAATCATCATTTGTATTCCAGGAAGCACTCTTAAATATGTTTATAACTTTATTATAACTAATATCATTGATGAACTCATAATTTTGCAGAGCAATAGGCTTATTAACTGTCAAACTGTTGATGCAAAATGATTTCAAGGGTAATTTGAAGTGGTTTTCAGAAATTTTAATTGTATCAATGAGACTAGAAGTTTCTGAGGGAATGATATATTCATTCAATTCTAAAGTAACCACATATTTGGTGTGTCCATATGTACGTAACAAACAATCATTTTCAACAAGCATTCTTGTAAGAGAGCTATCACTCTTTGGATAGTTCCATGGTAAAAAGGTAGTGTTGATTTCAAGTCTATGTGAAAGAGCCTTTAACAACTTTGACAACCTATATGGAATAGATCTATCATAAAACAGGAATGTATTAATGCCTATCATTTTATGAAAGCTAATGAACTCCATGAACATATTCTTATCAAAAAAGGAAGGAGATATACAAGCTATAACATCATCATTCAACTTGTTGAAGAAATTATTAGTGAGCAATGTTTTTGGCATGTCTTCCTCCTGTTTTGCTTTGGAAGAAAATGAAACTGCATAAGGAACTGTTTCCAAATTTGTGAATGCACAATAATAAAAATAAGGCACTAGAGTATTTGCTGTGTGGTTCCAAGATAATCTTGATGACTTAAATTTACCAACTACAGTAGTCATGTTACCTTCATACCAAAGGTAGCAGGTTCTGGGTGTCTTTCCTGCTTTGTTTTGGAGAGCAATTGCTTTGACTTCTGTTGCTTTGATCAAGAATGCAGAATAAACGTAGCCATCATCAGTCTCTTGCCAAATCGGCTGTGGTCCCCAGTCGTTCTGGATCAAAGCATCATCTTTAAGATCTGTGAGGTTGCATGGCTGTCCAAAGAAGTTAAATACTTCCAGGACATAATGTAAGCGATTGTATTCACGTCGGTATATCAAAAATAAGGAAATGCTTAGGACTGACACAATTAGTAAAAATAGCTGATGATATTTCTTCATAGTTATATCATGTTTTGTCATTCAAAAGTGATTTGAATTCAATAAAAAACCAGTGAGTGAAAACTGAAACATTATCTTATATCATTGATTTATATGGTCAATCTTCAGTTTAAACTTTGAACTTTTAAAAACAACTTTCAAGTTTCAGGTTAAAATTCAAAATCGTCCCTTCTGTTTTCTTCTTACTTCTTCTCTTTTTAGTCTTTTTTGACAACAACAACTAAGATGGTGTAATGTTCGGGTTCAACTTTACTCAACCGTAAATAGCAAAGTACAAAACAAAAAGAATACATATTTTATTCTATTATTTATAGGTTATCTTGTTTTGTAAACATAACAAAGTTTCAAAGTTATTTTATCCAGGAATCAGAATTATGGTTTTAGTGATTATAGTAATTTAGTTAATTATGAGTTATGTAAGTGATTTGAGTCAATCACCAGAATATTTGAGCTTCCGAAGTAGTGTACCCCTCAAGATAATTGTCGTAGACATCGATAATTCAAAGGTAATGAAAAATGTTGCCGACTGGGGACTGGGCTGCCATGTATAATCTAATTATAAAGGGAGTGATAGATTAACGACTCAATTCCAATGATATTCATTCTAATAGGGCCGATATCTATGAATCTATGTGCTCTTGTCTGATACTTGGTATCATGTTCTTGAATCAAATGTAATTTATGTCTTGGTACCTAACCTACCCTACCTATAGCAATATTATTGCTTCTTGCTAAAATTAAGTTTTCATACTGTGTTAAAAAGTCTATTTACTATACCTATTATTTTTAGGGATGGAAAGTTTATGATTGTGGTCCCAAGACTGTTAGATGTCCTTTAATATGCTTGCCTCCAGTATCTGGTACTGCTGACATATTTTTCAAACAGGCCTTAGCACTTTCTGCTAAGGGCATACGTGTCTTATCAGCAGAAGCACCTGTATATTGGAATGTACGAGAATGGTGTGAGGGTTTCAAAAAGTTACTTGACCACATGGATTTAGATAGAGTTCACATTTTTGGGTCATCCTTGGGTAAATATCTATCTTTTGTGATTTTACAAAATATATTGTCTATTTCTTCACTCACTTGCCCCTTAAAATCTAAGACTAAGAATCAGTGTGAATACCAAATCATTATTAATTTTTATCCATACTATTAATTACTGGATTGAAAACAAAAAGAATGGAGTCATTTCACATCACTTGGTAGCTGTTTTTATCAACCATTCCCGATTTTGTTGTTTGTCTATTTTTTATTTCATTTCATTGTTTTAAATCTTCAACTAATAGCTTTCCATGACCATTTTCAGGCGGCTATCTTGCTCAGAAGTTTGCTGAACACACTGTAAATAATCCTAGGGTTGCCTCCTTAGTCTTATGCAATACATTTACTGATACTTCTGTTTTCAACAATCATGATTCTGCAGCAATATTTTGGATCTTGCCAGCACTTGTTCTTAAAAGGATGATTATGGGGAATTTTGGTTCTGAAAAAGTGGATCCAGAAATGGTTGAAGCTATTGATTTCATGGTGGAAAGAGTAAGTACCTGTACATACAGGGTTGGCCACATTATCTCAGGATGATTGAAAAAGAAATACTTATAATTTTCTTTTCCATAATTTCTTGTAGGAATTGAACATTCTGATATGTATTTTTAATTGCATTTGATTAGGTACTCAGTTTCAAATGAATAGATTTATATCCCAGGATATATCATTAATTGATAGATACTGTGGAGATAGATTCAATCAAACATGAAATAATGTACATTACATACATAAAGATCATATGTCTAAATATTGAGTACATAGGTAGGTACTAATTGGGTTATATTGAAAAAACAATCCTTGAGTGAGGAAAGCTTAATGACTATTCTATTATGGAAAGAAAGATACAAAAAAATTTAAAAGAGGTTCTAAATTGCCAGAATAGCTTGAGTAGGTACATTTTGAGAGAAAGTTGCATATTTTTTCGAAAACAAGGATATGAAAACTAATGTAATGACAACATCATTGAATTATTTTTTCCTGGAGACATACCTTCATTTTGGTAGGTATATTTCAGAAGGGTAATTATTCAGAATTAATTTTGCAATTTCCTTTCATTAAAATAAAAATATGAGTAAATTTGTTCAAAAAGTTCTAATCAAAAATTCACAATTCTCATGACCATACAAACAAGTAGCCTCTGGAAATAATATTAAACAGTCCTGTGGCAAAACATTGTTTAGGGGAAAATGATTGTTTTTCAGGCGTGACATTTTTTAAGGGGTTCTAAAAAATTTTAAAGTCCAGAAAAAATCTCAATAAGGGAAGAAAATTCAAATGATGTAAAACGTGAAAAAATTAGGAAAAAAAGAAGGAGAGAAGGAACAAGAAATGAATCACAAATTTCTCCTTTTTAATTTGTTGATTTCCTGGTGAAATCTCATACCTAGTTATTTCATTGAAAAAAAAAACAAAATCTTACAACAGTTTAGAATAATTAGCTCTTTTCAAAGATGCCAAAAAATTATGTCTAATAGGAAAAATTTGAAAATGATTATAAACTCTGAGACCAGTCAATGTACCTATCATTGTTTCAAGAAGGATAATACTTTTTTGTGTTTATAGCTTGAGAGCCTTCCACAGACTGAATTAGCTAGTAGGCTAACCCTCAACTGCCTTAGAGGTTATGTTGAAGCTCATAAACTTTCCGATCTTCCGGTTACCATAATAGATGTTTTTGATGACTGTGCACTTTCTGGTGCTGTTCGAGAAGAGCTGTGCAAGTGTTACCCAAGTGCCAAATTAGCTCACCTGAAATCAGGAGGCAATTTTCCTTATCTCAGTAGATGTGGAGAAGTTAACTTACATTTACAGGTAAAGATCTATATTGATTTCCAGATGTGAAGTTAATCTCATATTTGGAGCTCAAACAATTGAGTGTATTTCAAATATAAGGCATATCAGGATTCAGAGCACACTAGAATAACCCATTTCACCAAACATCACCTAAAATTTTTAAAGGAAGGAAGTTCAAAGACTCCATGATTAAATTGCTTCAAATATTGTTTTCACAGTTTTACTCATGAAGAAAATATCTTAAATTATTTTTAGATACATCTTCGTCAATTTGATGGTACATCACATTCAGCATCAGATAGGCCTTTGATACAGAGATCCTGATATGGATAGGAAGGCAATCACTATTTTATAATAACTTCATAACATTTTTTATTATTTTTATTATTATCATTATAAGAACTACCAAAGGGTCCACACCTAACAATAATTTGAATTGAATAGAATTTATATCTGTGTTACCATTTTTTTCATGTTTGAATTTTCGAATAACTATTTAAATGAAAAGGATATATGTTTGTGATAGATAATAATTATTATATTTCTTTCTTTCTATTTATATGCTTATAGCATTACATCAGATACCAGATTAATGAATGTATTCATTCATCAAGACTATAAACTGCTATACCATTGGCATACAGATGAATTGCACTGATAGTGATCATCATTACTAGTGATAAATGTTCATTAATTGTTAGTTTATTATTGTACAAGTATTTTAATATATTATTACTTCAATTATTTTGTCAAGTTCCTCAATATTCATAGTACACATTTTCCTCACTAATGACTCAGGTGCTTATCATCTTATTGATTCCATGGAAACAATTAGGTATTTTACAATAACTGAATTTACTCATCTAAAATGTTTTCAAACTTGAGAAGAATGTAGATTGAAGGGTACCATCACAATTTTTCAAATTCTTCCTTTTTTGAGATGTTGATCTAACACAAACATTGAATTTGTGCCTCTCAGTAGTTTCTGTGCTGCTGGTACAATTTTACACTTGTCTAATAATGAATTTGTGCAATAAAATATTGTTGATTAATCATTTAATCTTCTACATTCAGAAATACCCGCATACTCTGAACATTTTTAAGAGCAGAGGTCTATGAAAAATATGTTAATCTCAAATTTTCTATACATATTTCTTTCTTTCACATACATTCAATTAACAAAGTGTGAAATCCTATCAACAGCACAGAAAAACTACTGAATAAACAAATAAAATGAATTTGTTTTCATTGTGGGTATTCCCGAGATTCACGAAGTGGGCGACATCTAGATTACATAAGACGAACTTCAAACTGGGGGAAAACAAACTATTGTCTATGGATAAAGTGTATAGACTACATTGCATACATCTTACTGTAGCTGTAGTTGTCAAACTTGTCAATGACATAAAGTGTTATCACTCTCATCAGTACACAGTACACAAGCTAATGGCACTAATGGGATAGAGTGAGGATTGAGTTTGTTTTCCCTCAGTTTTGACATGGCTTTGACATGGAACGATGAAAACCGAGCGCCACCTGGAGACATTGATTCCCGTGAATATGATAACCCTTTGATTGGCATTTTACAGGACACCATGAATGCCTTCAGAATGATGAATCAAAGGTCTATACCAATTCACTCTTGCACCAATAATATTGGGAAACTGATGCATTTCAACATTAATGAATACCAAGGAAGAAATTATTTCACTAGATATGTACTAACTCAAGTTTATTGAAATATCATGACCATTTTCATTTTTATTTGCAATTCTGGACCCAAATTGCAAAGCTCTCTTTTTCAGCACTGCTGCTTTCTTTAATCCAATGTGGTATGCCAAACTCCTCAATAGGATCTTTTCTCCAAAACCTTGAGGAACTTTATGTGAGGGATAAGATCTAAAACATTATGGAAAATTAAATAAATCTAGAGATCCCTATACAATCAATTTGAATTATACTTTTGCCAACACGGTAAACTTCTGACATATTGAACCAGTTTCTCATCCAAATAAGGCATTCTCAACTGTCTTCCATGATCTGAAACAACTCTGTCATCTCTGGCTAGATTCCTGTATGGTAAATTTTCCCAATCTTCATTCAGGACAGTGTGCAATCCCAGCCAGGACTTCTTCTTAAATGCTGCCCTGTGTCTTGTATAACCACCAAATAGTTCATCTGCACCCATTCCTACCAACAAAACCTAGAAGTACTTTTTTGAAATATCAAAATAATAATGCATTGAACTCCATAGAAATTGAATTTGCTTACTCTACAAGGTGACTGGGTGGAATTCTGAAGTCCTCTGCTAGCAAACCATAATGCACAACCAAGACTGTCATCCAGAATAGTTTTTAAAGGATAAATTAAATCTGCTATATGATCACTCCTAAGCTTTTCTAGCTCATCTTTTGGAATGTCAATTTCAAAGAACCTCCATTCCCTTTCTGGGCACAATTGCCTTAGTTCTTCCAAAGTTTCTAAGCCAGTTTGTCTGTCAGGTGTTTTGTAATGTTGATATTCACCAAAAGCTACATTAAACAAATCTATGGGTCTGGTTTTCTCAACAATTTTATCAGCTAGAAGAGCAAGAATTGAGCAGTCTACTCCACCAGAAAATAAAACTCCCAAAAGAGAATGGGTACATTCTTGGTGTTCCTTTATACAATCTCTACAGAAGTTTGGTTGAGTGGAAATTCTCTTTTTCACTGATTCTTCCAACAAGTGTTCCAAATTTTCAATTCTAATTGACCAATTTTGGTCACTGAATAATACAGAAAAAAAATTTTCAATGCTCATGTTTTCAAGATTTTCATAAAGAGCTATTTGCTCAGCAAGTGGCTCCATATATTCTGGCATATTCTTTGTGTTCATAATTGTATCTTTGAGTGATATAGTTTTTCCCAAGAATGATTCAAGTTCAGCCAGTTTCCCATTGAAATTGGCATTATCCAAACTGAAAGGATAGAGAAATAGTGCTTTACTCTTTAAATCCCAACAGAATAACCCAATAGATGGTAGTTCAATGAATTCATATTTTTCAGTTCTGTGTGCTACACTAGTGAGTACAATTATTTCACATTGTTTTCCAATCAATAAACTTTTTCTTCCAAAGCAGTCCCTACAAAAGTACAGCATGTCTCTTTCTTTATCTAAATATATAAAAGCATAAGGGCCTTGGATATTCTTAAGTGTAGAAAAAATATCATCAGTTTGATTGAATAATTCAAATAATTCCAGTGTGTCACTTTTACTATTGAAATATGAACCTGTGTTCAATCCATTATAAATATCACCATTGTATAAGAAGACTGCCCTATGATTTTCTAGTGGTTGTTTGGTGACAATCTCACCTTGAAGCCAAAGAACACTAACACCAAATATTAATTCACAACCATTCTTCAATGATAATGATTTCATATCGAAACTGTCAGGTCCGCGTTTGTTAATGTTTTCTTTGAAGACATTGAACTGAAATGAAGAATTATGAATGGAAGATTTGAAAATTATTCATGAGTATCCTTACATCATTTAGTAGTTCATTAGGTGCAGTAGCTCTGCAATCGCTAGAGAAGATGCAAATTATACCACACATTGTGTTCCAAGTTGAATTTTGAATTCAAAATCAGGTAAGAAATCAAGAATCATGACCTAGTAAAAAGGTAAATTCCGAGAAAATTCGAAAAATTATTTTCTTTGGTTACATTCAGTTTTGTAATCACTTCTCATTTTAGTTCTCTTGGCTCTCATGGTACACTGACACTTCACTTCCCTCTTACCAGTCTTACCATTTCCACAATGTTATCCTAACTTTTAGTATCATATTCTACCATTTTATTATTTTATCTGTTTAGGTGTCTTGATGCTTAGATCATTTTGTCCTTGTAGCCATCTTACATCGAGCTCTAGTGGCAATGATCCCACTTTGACAGTTGCCTTTGTCAGTGTGTGTCATCACTGTCATCAAGTGTCATCCAAAGTCCAATCATTGATGACAAATAAAATTTGGAGATGACAGATGAATGTTGTGTCAATGAATAGACCTCTGCTGTGTTGATGTTGAATCATGAATCATGAATGGCAACAAAAACAATCCAAGATCAATTATTTTATAACTGCAATCGGTAATTTTTAATTTAAGTTTCAAAGTATGTGAATTACCTTGTAGGAGTACCATTATGTCGTCTGTGAAGGTAGCTGTAAGGGTACGCCCCTTCAATCAAAGGTAAATACATGAGTATCAATATATTCATGGTTGGATGCACAAAAAAGTGCAATGAACTTGTTTTCTAATTGCAAATCTTTTAGGGAAATTGACTTGGATGCACAACTAATAATACAAATGAGGGACAAAACTACTGGCATACTCAATAGCAAGGTAATTTTAATTTTCAAGTAAAGATAATATAATAATATAATAAATTATGATAATCTCCCATTGTACATTCATTTCTTTTTCATTGCAGGCAAATATTCGAGATGAAAGTATTAGATACAAGGAATTTACTTTTGACTACTCCTATTGGTCTCATAAAGAGGACTCTAATTATGCATCTCAAGAAACTGTATACAATAACTTAGGAAAGGAAGTTATAGATTGTGCATTTGAAGGTTATAATGCTTGTATTTTTGCTTATGGGCAGACAGGCAGTGGGAAGACATTCACAATGATGGGATCTCCTGTAAGTGTTAGATCAGATTTTTCATAAAATAACACTGATTCTGGTTTTTGGCTCTCAGGAGAACCCAGGGCTCATTCCCAGGATATGCAAGGCTCTATTTGAGAAAATGGCAGAAAATTCTAAAAGAGGAACTACTCATAGAGTTCAAGTCAGCTATTTGGAAATTTATCAAGAACGGGTAGCTGATTTACTTAGAGGCACATCCTCTCTAAAAGTTCGAGAACACCCTAAAAAAGGGCCATATGTTCAGGGACTAACAACTACTCTGGTAACAAATTATGGGCATATTCAAGACTGCATGGACAGGTAAAAATAGGAAAAGAGTTAGGAAAACAATTAAGAGACCAATTCCCTCCTAAGTATCCCTATTTCATGAAGCATAGTCCATGCAAATTAAACTATATATTGATTGATAATGAGTTATCCTGTGTGTGATTATCATTTTCATGTGACAGATATCCTGATTTAGAATGGTACAAAAACTTGGACAAATACAAATCCTGATTCTTCATTTTGTCCTGCCTGATTCTTATCCAGTTCCAATTCATAAAATGGTCAAAGAACTTGACAATTTCATTTGATTGATGACTTGTACAAGCAAATATCAAAGTTCTCTTCAGTAGGTATATAAGATTCCATACTTCCCAAATAATGTTATAATCTTGAGAAAATTATTTCAACATTATGTACCTAGGTACTTTAGGAATATAATGATGAATATGGAAACAATAAAGTAGTGATTAATCATAGTGACTTAATATATTATGTAGTGCAAGGAATAGCATTGCTGAATTTTGGTGAATATATTAAATCCAATATTAACAAGGGTTTCATCAAAAGAACTTGTATGAGTGAAGGCTAGTTGATTATGTATATAATTATGTATTTTCATTAAATATTTGTTCTCTTTCAAGGTGAATTATTATGTCATGTTGCTATTATGACTTTTTGTTCTGTTTCATCTACAATCTTTTGATAACCCTTGCCATTAATCACCATTTTTGCAGAGATTATAATTTATAATTAAAATTTGAGAAATCAGTACCAAATAGCTGGGTCTTGTACTAGTTACTACATAGTACAAAAAATATTATGAATTTGTGAAACACATGATTATGCTGTTTTTCAAAATATGATAAGGAATGGGGCAGGGATAGTATGTTTTCAAACATTATTCAATGAAATGGAAGCTGTATTGGATGATGTAGTTAAAACTTGATTTAATATAAATTGATAAAAAGACAACAGAAGTGCAACTTGATTGAAGAAATACATGAGATCTGCTAATATTTTGAAAATTGTAAATTACTGATTTGGATTCATGATGAAACAATTGGAAGATATACTGGTATACCCCCTTTTTCTCCTCTGGTTTGCTAGGTACATTTCTGAAATTTGGAACAGTGAATATGCTCACTAGAGGTCTTTCTTGCATTTTAGGATTTTTTTTATCTTCTAGTCCAATAAATGAAGAAGGAAAAAAGGCAAAGTTAATGTTAATTACGCACTATTTTCATCTTCCGGTTGGAAGTAGCTCTTGGTACCTTAAACATGAGACAAAGTTTGACTGGAAAACGCGTGCGATGGCGGAGAAGATGGACCCAAAAGACCAGGAAAATAGGTTTTCAGCCAATATCTCCTAAAATATGGCAGTTAGAGATTTTCGGCTCGGATAAAAATTGAAGTTTAGTTAATTTTCTACAATAATGGTCCTTATCATTTTTCTCGAAGATTTGCCCGGTTTCGAGAAAAACGGCACGAAGCGCACCTGGAATAATGAGCTTCTGTGTTGTATGCCGGAGAGCACAGTCCGTGTATTTACACATCGGCGGGGGGACAAATTATTCAATAACTTTGTTAAAAATGCATATTTTCTCATGATTCAAAATTCATGTGAAAGAGGAATTCTGCTGCTATCATACCCTGCGTGGCCGCATGGTTTTTAGCAGACGACCCGAGCGCCACGTAGAGCACACACGCGGCGAACGAAGATATTCAGTTCAAAGTTTCCAATAGCTAACTCTCTACTGTACTATGCATTTACAATAAAAAATTGTATTCAACCTCTCTTGATGATCTAGCATAACACAAATAAAATATATTTCAATATCATAGTCAGGTACATACATAACTTGAACATGATATGGAGGAACATCAGGAATATTTAGGAATATAAAAAAGCCGTTACAACCGGGGGGGGGGGGGGGGTACAACTAAGAGAGAGTAACAACTGTGAACGACATGAAATTCCTCATTTACTCAGAATGGGATGTGATATTTCTAAAAATGAAAACATCTAGGTTCTAAACAAAAACTCCCTACCCCCTATCATTGTGGATCAAAAAATCTAGTAAAACTTGATGATAACAAAAATTATGTGTTCTGGACAAATAGCAAATTCCACAAAGAATTTTGAGTACACAGAATATAATATATTATTTAAGTATATGGGTGTCCAGAGATAAAACCCAACAAAACTTGTGGGGATACAGGGCTTGCCAATGTGATTGCAGAATGCCTTACAAACGTCTCACATACAGAGTGATTTGTGGATTTTGACAAAAATTCAATCTGCCATATTAAATACAGCGATTACCCGATTGGGTTCAAATTTGGTATATGAATTAATCTCAAAGGCTTTAAAAAGTAGCCTTCTGAACGAAATCAATATCAGGACCGGAATATTATTTTTTTCCTATGTTGAGTTATTATCAGTATAACTCACCCTGTATAATAATTATCAAAAATCTGGGGTCATATTATGAACGTACAAGAACAATGCTATAGGAACTTGTTAAGTTTCTGATAAAGTTTCAGTCATTCCATAATAAATTTTTTTAATATCAATTGTCCACTAAAATATTATCAGAAATGAAAAAATATATTTACGAAACCAAGACATAATTGTTGTTATTCTCTTTGATAACTTCGTAGAAATATTTCATAAATTACTCTAGTACCCTGAAAAAACTGAAGAATACATTCGTATCAGGACCGGAATGACTCTTTTTCTTGTTCTTGTTGTAAGTACAGGGTCTCAAGGTCTCTACAAAATCTCAGAACATGTTTCTGAGGTCTAAATAAGCCGATTTGAAGCAATTTATCTCAGTCCGAAATTGCTCAACTTCTGAAATACACGGTAGTGAATTTAAAAAATAAAAATCGAATTTCTTCAAAATTTATTAACATTTTTGAACGTATCACACTGTAAATTGATAGCCGAGGGGATCTTTGGGATGCGAAACCCGAATACGGACACATTTTTACTGTGGCCATTAGAGGGCGCTTACCAATGCACTTCTTATTTACTTTTTCACTTTTTTAAGTGTTCGACACCGCACCGGAATATTTAAATTATTTTGAATAAAAAATGCATATTTGCTGTTATCTTTGTGAATGTAATTTGGTCAGTAAATGGGTAGTGCAAAAATGGATTTTACAAAATACATTTTTGGGATGTACTTGTTGATTTTTATTTTGTAAATTTACCACCCTGTATCCCGGAAACGGAGCAATTTCGGACAAAAATAAGTTGCTTCAAATCGGATTATTTTGACCTCATGAGGACTATGTGCTAAGATTTTGTACAGACCTTTTAGGGACACCCTGTATAACTGATCTAATATAACAATTAACATTAATCTGATCGTAGATTCGGAATCAACTAAAAAAAATTACAGGAACTTGTTGAAAACGGACTGGACAAAATTTTTCGTGAATTATATTTACTTTTAATGATGGATTCGAATTTATGAAGATACAACACAACGAACAATAATTTTTTGTAATACACATATTAAAAAAAAATCATTTAAAAAAAACTCACTAGTATTACAATACAAATTCCGATACAAATTCCTATACGATTTTTTCAGTTATTCTGAATCTACGGTCAGATAAATGATCAATGTTATACTAGGTCAGCTATAATCATTACAAGACTCATTCCACCCCTGATACGAATTTATTCTTCAGTTTTTCAAGTTATGAGAGTAATTCATAAAATATATGTTTTGGTTTCGTTAATATTGATTATATTTCCAATTTTGCTGATATTTTATTCGACAATTAATGAAAAAAAATTAAATAATAATTCATTATGGAATAACTGAAATTTGGCCAGAAACTTTCTTAACCCAGATATGCCTAAACCTTTTTTGAAGAATTCAGAACTCTGAATTCTCAATATTCCATCTGAAGAATAGTTCCAACTGAAGTCGAAATAAAAGAAGTATATGAATTTTAGATTTTTTATTCATCAATAAGTACAAAAATTTGGCCGTCCTATATTTAGGACATTAGGCACATGGGGTTGATAATTCAAACTGGTTATGTTCTTTGATGATACATGATGAAACACTTTGTGTGAAGTCCCACGTCACATTTTGAGCACCTCGTAGTGGTTTTTTGATGACACAAGGCACATCGAGTTTGGTTGACTTGTGGAACCACTAAATGATCGAGTCGGTCATATCTCATATCATTCTCTTTCGAACTTGTAAGATGCCCTCTCTGTTGAGATTTTTTTTCTTATTCTGAATCAATTAAGTCGTGCAATAATCCTCCGGAAATTGAGTTGGTCCAAGTTTCCTCCTCTTTCACGATGAAGTTGCACGCATTTTGGATAGACAAATCAATACAGTGTGCGATCAAAGGCCAGTACCACTTCTTCCCTCTGATTCCCACACGATATAGACTCACGTTCTGATCAGAACGATCAACACCTCCCATATTCGCATTATACATGTGTATTAGATAGGGCTGGTCAACCTGAAAGTTTGATTTTGTGAAGCAAAGAAAGAACAAAGAATTATTTGCCTACCTGAATATTTTTCTTTTCTTTCTGAGAGTATCGCTTTACCGAATGCAGTGGAGCAACTCCTGAAAAATTCGAGCAAAGAGATACGATACTGTTATCATGCCATTTCACTGCTATTATATTCTTCTCTTCAATCTTCTTGAAATCGAATGATCCCATGCTTTTTTTTTCAAAATTTTTGAGTCCGTCAGGTTGCTTCCTGCTAAACGATTTTCTCTTACGGTTCCTGTAGCATGGAAGTTCTTATTTGTCAATTCTTCAATCAGCGATAAAGACGTGAAGAAAAATAGATGGAAATTCTTATCAGGCCATTTTCTACGAATTGCATCTGCGTATTCTAAAACTACTCCAGCTCCAACTCCCAATTCTGCATATGTTTCACTGATATTTGTCGATGATCCCTGATACGGTTCGAACCAATTTATGTAACCCAATCTAGTAGTACCAACCCAAAGCTTATACCCATATCTTATGGGTTTTCTACGGATGAATTGTTTACAGCCATGCCGTCCGTAGTATGGCACCATGGCTTCATCAATCTAATGCATCTCTTCACACGGAGCGTTTTCCAAACATTTATTCTTCAAATGGTCGAAAAGTGGTCTAACCTTGGCGAATCTATCGTTTTGTGGTAGATTTCCATTATCGCTTACTTGGAAATTAAACAGAATATGCTCGAATCTGTCTCTAGAGATTGCCTCAGCGACTAACTCATTTCTTCCATCTTTTTCTCTCTCCCAATATATTCTCCTTCGAGGGACTCGTCAACTGTCAATGACTAACAGAGACATCCAAAGACTTCAAAAAAACTTTCAAAGAATTCCAAAGACTTCCAAGGAGTTTTACCCCTCGGGTAAACGTGACAACACGGCGCACGAATCGTGGGCGGTGCCTTGTCAGTTCTCAGCATTCAGCACATTGTTGCCAAGTCTTGAACATCAACATGATATTTTGTTATGGAGTGTAAGAGATATTTGAACATGCTGGTTGCTCGAAAAACTTGAGAATGAGCTATGATATGATTGCTTCCTCGTATTATGTTTTATCTCGTGCTTTATTCAACAACAGGACTCTAATCGTTTTGATAAATTGATTATAATTGGTGACTTGACAACCTTGCATCATGAGTGAAAATAGAAGATTATCTGACCAATAACGTCATAAAAACTGACGTCATCATTTATTCGACGTATCAACAAATCGGGAGACAACACAACCTGGAGCTAAAATCTACTATTGTTTTTAATTCATTGTTGAAGTTATAATCGATTGCAATTTACATATCAACAAAAACATTTATAGGGTGTAACTTAAAAAAATTAAGGTGGGGTGGTTTTTCAGGGGTAGTTTGACAGAAGTTGACTTTGGCACGATGGCTTCAAAGTCATTTGGGTTAGACAAAACTGTGATTTCTTTGATTTGTTTTCCAAGCAGAATAACTGAAATATTGGCTGTATGAAAAGATCTGAGACACCCGGTATACCACAAAATTCATAAATGTCACTTTCCAGGGACAAGGCGATTGAATCATGGATTTTTACAAATAATATTTTATCAAGGACTTGAAATCTAAAACAATTTTTGAAAACACATTGTGTGTATGTTGATATAATACCTGAAGAAATTGTGAAAAACATAAATAAGTCATAAGTAGTATCAGTACAATGAATAATGATATTTTTTCCCGGCTAATGATGGACACTGACGACACTGTTAATCCTTTAGGATATCAAATGGTGGAGATGATTATGAGTTTGTTCTCACAATCTAACCCATTTATCAATGTCAAATTACCTATTTCGCGAAAACTTCTGGAAATATCAATATCTCGAAAGCAGTAAGACTGTCCATATGAGAAGAATAATGCTTATAAATATTTCAAACGACCCCAACTATCACATGTTAAAATGTTTCTGACAACTCACTCTGTATAATACCTCAATCAGTATCTTCAGTTCAAACGTTCAAAACATAAAGGGTATTCTGTATAAAACCAATATCAATTTCTAGGGGAAACTCTCATCGAACAACTGCTGCTACCAACATGAATGATGTCAGTAGTAGGAGTCATGCGATTTTCACAATAACCTTCGTCCAAGCAGGATATTGTGATGGTGTACCTAGTGAAACAGTGTCGAAGGTCAGAAATATAAACAGACATATTCAGTCCACATTTTCGAATCTCCTATTCTTTCCAGATACATTTGGTGGATTTGGCAGGCAGTGAGAGAGCAGATTCCACAGGTGCGACCGGTCAAAGACTCAAAGAGGGTGCTCACATCAACAAATCGTTGGTCACTTTGGGATCTGTGATATCGGCCCTAGCTGAAATCTCAGTGGACCAAAATGCTCAAAAGAAATCGATTTTTATTCCTTACAGAGATTCCGTCCTCACTTGGTTGTTGAAAGATAGTCTCGGTGGGAATTCTAAGACTATTATGATAGCTGCTATCAGTCCTGCTGGTATGTTTCTCAATACGGGGTGGCCCAGATTTTTCATACAATTTTATTGTGAGGTTATTGAGACTCGCAATTTATTTATTATTTCATATCGAAGGGAATATAGAAGTAATTCTTTTCGAATTTATCACACACACTACCTTTTTACCATGTGTCATTCTCGATCTCATTTTTTTTAGACTAATTCGCTGGCGACGCATTTTTCAATTCCCAATGTTTTTAACATTTTGTTCTGTGTGTTAGAATTTGGTCTAGACAAAAGATCGTCAATATTTTCATGAACCGAGAATTGGATTGTGTATCGCCATAGTTGAAACTATATTTTGATTGCCATTTAAACTTTGTTGATAGATTGCAATTATGGAGAAACTTTGAGTACCTTACGTTACGCAAATAGAGCTAAAAACATTATTAACAAACCTACTGTCAACGAAGATCCTAATGTGAAACTAATTAGAGAACTGAGGGATGAAATAAGTAAATTGAGGGCACTTATGTTCTGTGAACAAAGGACTGATATGTTGGCCCAACTGCAGGAGAAGGAAGCTAGAGAGAAGGTAATAAATAACAATGTATTTATGTGAACTCACTTATAATCGTTATCCACCAAAGATGGATTAGTCTGCTGATAAAAACTAAAATGTTAGTTCCAGAAAATAGTGTTCTCTCCTACCATCTCATATAGGGTGTTTGTTACACATTGGTCAGTTTCAAATTATTGCTCTCCCAACTAACTAGAAGTATATGTTGTTAACCAAACAAGTTTGGTAGCCATTCAATGTAGAATTGTATCATGTACTCAGTTCTATTGAAATGTCTCAGTCGATCAAAAATTCGTGAAATGAATGCATAATAGGTGTTGAAAGGGTTTATCGAGAACAAACGTTGGCATTTTTTTTCAAATTTTGTTCCACCTTTTCTCGAAAACCGACTCGAAGACAGTGTGTACTATCAAGTTTCAACATAGTTGGTCTTTTTTACATTGTATCCAAATCATAAATCAACACACTCTAACAGTGCCATTCAAAGATGAATTTACTCAATAATGATATTGATTAGATCGCTCTAAAGTACTGTCAGATACAAAGAACATGTCTCAGTTGAATGGTGTTAGGGCTCTTATTACAAAAGTAAATAAAAATGCTAACACCGCCCGTGGGCGACATGTTCATTGCAGCTGACTGTACTTTCAAACAATTAAGGTCAAAATAGGATGTACATTTCATTTGTATCTCAGTTCCTGAGTCTACTCATTCACTATCAAATAACTGTACCTTCTTAATATACATATTTCTCATCATTCAGATCGTTACATTACATTCCTGTTAGATACCGTTATCGTGGACACGTCATCGGGGTGGTGACAGAGACATTATATAAGTGTTTGGGGAATTTTAATATGTCAATGAGATTATTACTCATTCTATTTGTGCCTTTCTTTCAGAAGAGTATTGTTAGGAATTCGTATAGTGCCTCTGAGCCCCTAACACATCTATGTGTATATGGTATTGTTTTCAGCTTTCTTGAATTTCACTGTGGACTTTATTATTTCATATAGAAACCATTGATCTATTCAAGAAAATTTCAAATATTTTGATAGTATGTTTTTTTTATAAAACTTTTTAATCCTAATCCATCTCCAGATTGTTGTGAAGTCTTCAGATAATATAAATTCATGAGAAAATGTAGAATTTTTTAAATTGTTCATCGTTTCCTTATTTTTTAGGAACTGACTGAAGAATGGACTGGAAAATGGAGGGAAGCACAGGCGATATTGAGAGAACAAAGGGCATTAGGACTGAGAAAATCGGGACCTGGAGTAGTTTTAGATTCTGATAGGCCACATTTGGTTGCAATTGACGACGATCCCTTAACTACGGGGGTCACATTATATCATTTGAAGGTTGTTTTTTTTTCTATCATATGTTATGTCTCAATTCACGATTTTCTATGTGTGATAGGAAGGAAAAACTACTATAGGAACAGAAGAATCAGATGTGAAACAGGATATTGAACTGAGAGGAGCTGGTATGGAACCGCAACATTGTATCATTTCATTTGAAAATGGCATCACGACATTGATACCTCACCAAGGAGCACATGTTATGCTAAACAACGCAATATTAGAATCTCCTGCTAGGTTGTCTCAGGGTTGTATCATTTTCATTGGAAAAGCACATGTTTTCAGGTAGAAGAATAGGATCGATAACTATTTTTGTTGTAGGTGGACGCTGCATTACTACCTCTATGGAGTAATGTATCTATTTACTTACCTGATTTAAGTGTTACAAGCGGATTGAACAAACCAGAAACAGAACCTTCTACTTACTTAAACAATTATGTGTAAATAAAACATTGTCTCTACCTATAATTCGATAAGGGTAGTAAAACAGCGTCCGTCTCCCATATGTTGTTTTAGAGAAATTTAATGTCTTTTTTTTTTCATTAGATATAACGATCCAGCAGAAGCTGCGGAGTTGAGAAAGAACGAGAAGGCACATAATTTATCTAGATTAAGCCTTTTGAGCTGGTCGACACCTGATTTAGCAGTATCAATGGAAAATTTACAACTGTGAGTAACTTGGAGATTTCAATTTCGATTCATTCATTTATTTATATTATTTATTGAATCAAGTAAAATCTACATTTTGTCATTGAATATTGATTACATGTATATATATTTCATATTGTATCTCCTTCTCATAGGTTAGTGACCTGTGTGTGAAAGAGATGAATTATTTCACATATGAAATTGTTTTTCTACAATATAAATACTCAGACTAATAATAATAAATTCACACAATGATGAGAATTTAAATAAAGAAAATTAGAGTTGATTGAGAAAGATCATCGACTTTTTTGCATCTTCTATAAGACGACTTTCAACTCCTTTTTTGAATGTTATGATATTTATACGTTTTGATTTTGATGGTAGATCCAATAAAACTAGAATGTTCTTTAAAATTCCAAGTTTATGTTTTTCAAGTTGTACATGGTTGATTTCGTTTCTTGTATCATAAATATGATTGATTTTATTTGTTTTTATGATTACACATAAATGATCACACTTCTTTCCCTAACTAATGAGATCTATTCAATCTGAATCGTTACAGTAGTAACTGATGAAAATTATGGAATACCCGATTTTTTCATGATGTTTACCTCCATGATGACTAAAAAATCTGAAGAAAAATCAGATGATGATCGTCAATACTCCATTTCAATGGCTTCAATTCTAAATTCAAGGATGATTTTATGATTTTTTTGAGTCCATATTCTATAGTCCTCATACAAATATACACGCATATACATATCTGAATGTCGCCTCAAACTTCCTTATATTATATGTTATCCAGTTTCCTCCCCTTTCTTAATCCTTGAACTTTATGTCCATTCCAGACGTTATTTATCAAAAATTGTATCTAACGATCTTGAAAATATATCACCACTAACCTAATATTGTTATTTTTCTTTGCTCTATTTTACCTTCTATTACCCCACTATGAACTGCTGATAATACACATCTTGGATTTTCTTATGTACCAAGTACTGCAAATGTGCAATATGTTCTATATAGTTTTAATGGGTCTCTTTGTTTGACATATATACATTTTTCTGCATTCTCTTATAACTAGTTTGACATATTTCTGATTTTCCCAGTGTTCTGAATAGCCTTAAACCATCTTAAGATCGTGATTAATATATAAACGATTACAGTTCAAATATCTCAATACCTTAGTCCTTTTTTTATTGGGGTTGAACGTAATTGAAATTACTAGTGACACCTCAGATACATTCATTTCATGGAATGTATGATACTGTGAAACATTCGATATTTGATTTCTTCGAGACTTTCATATTTATTGAGCAAGTTCGACCCAACCAAAAAATCAACAATCTTAAGAATATCTGTGTCATGCTAGGAATGTTGATGAAGAGAAGAGTGATATAGAGATGCAAAGACTGAATTTAGAAAAGGAAAAGGAACAGTTGGAGAGGGAACAGGAGGCTTTCGAAAAACAACAGGAAATTTTCGAGAAACATAGAAGAGCTCTGGAGCAAGCACAGTTGAAATTAGAAACGGAGAAACAATTGATACAGAGAGAATTTGCTGAACAGGTGATTAATGTTCACTTGATTCAATATGAATATTAGAATTTATGTTTTTGATTTTCTTTAACGTTCATGTAGACTCGACAATTGCAAGATGATTGGCGAAATCTGGCAACAGAGCAAAGGCAGAGAGAGGTGGAGCTAGAAAAGAAAGAAGAGCAATTGATTCTCGAGAGACAAAGATTAGAAAGGAATAGAAAGACTGTTTTAGGTGAAGTAAGTGAATATTCTGAACTATTGAGCTTTAGAGAAATGTTTGTATTTCAGTCTAGTACTTGGTGTTATATTTTATTTTGGTTATGCAATTTTTGTTTTTTTTTTCTGTAGATTGAGCACGAATGTGAACAGTTGCAAGATGTCAATGCTGATTTATTGGTTAGATTCACTGATGTATGTCAATTTGTTAATTCTAACATAAATGAAATTGTGTTTTCTTGTCCTGAAGGAAGCCACTTATTTCAGGTATCTTTTATTATTTTGGTGTTTAGATTATCACATAACTATTATAATTGCTATGTTCAGACATTTTCAAATAGAAAGACATTTTAGGAACTTGCTGCAAAGTTCATTGAGTCTCCTACAACACCTCAAGATACTGATAGTTTGATAGATATGATAAATCGAGCTAAGGGAAGTTGTACAACACAAGACCTGATAGAAAGACATGTAAGTATTCATCATAGTTTCTCAAGAGTGAAAGGGTATTAATGGACACACTCGACATTTTTTATGTATTGTTTTTTCTTTTGTTCTTCCGCAGGCTATATCAAAATCTTAATAGGCCCCTGTTAGTGAAACATTTTTTTTCATTTGGAATCCTAACTTAAACATGTCCACTATCAAGAACCGATTTTTCCTCAGAGCTCTATACATTTTTCAAATCATTATTGAAATCCACGATATTTAATCACATGAAAAATGCGGGGAATTCTCTATTTCTGTCAAACACAGCAAGGATATTTTTGATCGTTATTTAACATATGAATATTTTCAATAATAATTTTTTGCCATAACCAACACCCAGCCATCTTTGTGACGGTCATTGAACTCTTTGGAAGAGAAGTTAACTTGCATTTGTTGTTAACAATAGGTCGCGTGCACGATGACCGACCCTGGAGGTAAAATATTGGAACACAACCTCACTCTTCTGTGAATTATTGAAACACAACCTCACTTTTTTATTTGGTTACAGAGGAATCAAAGGATTAAAATAGTTTTTCACAATATTATGGCAAACGAATCGTGTTTTTTGCGCTATTCATTAATTCAAGCATGCCTTCGCATTGTGCTGTTGTACAATGCACAAAAAATGCAGCGAGAGACGAAGGAATATGATTTTTCAGGTTAATAGTAATCTGACATAGTTATCATTATGAAATGTTGTCATTCCTTATTAAAATTCCTTCTGCTACTTCTGCACTACAAGCTAATACTGCTAATAGATTGAAAATGTCTACAACACACACGATCATATTTCGTCAGACCAGTCCTCCCGTTTGATTTCATGAATCCAATTTGTATTTCAATTAGCTCCTATTGCAGAAGGGATTCAGATGAGAAATCAGAGAAATTACCAAATTTCAAAAATGAAAACTATATGTGAGTGACTATAGTGGGTACTTACTTTAAAATCATAACTACAGAATTCCTTCGTCTTCTGCTGCAGTTTTCGTTCATTGTACAACAGCATAATGTGATGGCATGAGCGAATTAATGAATAGCCGAAAAATACGAGTCCTATGCCAAAATAATTGTGAAAAAACTATTTCAATCACTTGTGAACAAATAAGAAAAGTGAGGTTGTGTTGCAATGTTATTCCTCCAGAGTCGGTCAACTGACAGTTCTTGCACGCAACCCATTCAATATATTGATTCATTCGAGTTTATTCCCTTGATTTTTGTTTGGCATTTATCAGACATCGTCGATATGAAAACGAAAGTAGATATGTTTATTACCTATTTGCGAAAATAACAGTAAGAATTCACCAGGAAAATGTTTTAATGTGTTTTTGTATTTATTTTAGAGGAAAGAGTTGGCAGAGTTACAAGCTGAACTGAATCGAAGAGTACACGCATTGTGCGAGAGACAAAAAAGCGTGGAACTCCTAGACAAAAAGATTGTGGACTTAGTAGATAAACAAAAATTACTGTGTATAGATCAGAACAAAGAAGAAGAACTTAATGTACTGAGGATTGGATTAGTGAAAAGGACTGAAGAAGAAATGAAGGAAATTGAACGAAAAAAACAGGGGTGAGTGGATTTTCTTTTGAAATTTGTCATATCCAATTATACCCATCAAAAAGTTGAGAAAATTTGAAGCAGATGGCACTGTTGAGGTTGGAGGTTATGTCATCTGCCTATTTTTGTCTATTTATTCACTGTAATGATATCTACTCAAAAATCAAAAATATACGTTATTAAGATGCCCCTACAAGTTGTATTGTGCCCTTGTGTTTCTCGAGAACATCTGGGATAAGCATAGAAGTCAGATGTATCGTAACATTACTTCTCATTCGTATAATTTTCAGGCAATCCGAGTCATGTAGATGACAGATCGCCATCTACTGGAAATCGTGTATTAGCATTTCACTTCGCACATGAACTTGAAAACTATAAGCTTCTTTGACTGGAAACATTATTTCATGTGAAATTCAATTTCATTTTCATTATTTGAATAAAGACATAGGACCGCGTAGAGCTCTGTTGACCTAATAAGAGATCAACTCTCTTGATTCATCAGCAAAGGCATATGTTGCCATGTATATAAACACATCAAATATTCAATGAGGATTAACCATATTCAGATTGTCCATCAGATCCAGATCACAGTAGTGAGACGTGGGAACAAAGTTGGTCGAACTGATAGATATACTTCTTTTTTCGTGTCAGTGGCCTCTTCCTACTTACCTGGGCTGGTGGCCGTGAGCGTAGAGTCGCTGGCTGTTGCCCAGGCGGTCCGGGTTCGATCCCCGGCGCGAGCACTGAATTAATTTTCGGTAGTTTCGTTGGGCGGGAGGAGATAGGTGGCCAACCCAACATTCTTGGTACCTAGATATCAATCCTTTGGACTGTCCACGGTTACCAGCCGAGTAGTGCTTCGGATGACACTTAAAAAGCTAAGGTCCCCGTCTTCTCAACTCACACAAGTCTCTGACTTTCGAGGGTTGCTTTGCAACTAAGCTGGCGGTTAAAAACACTTTTAAACACTTTTTTTTTATTTTCTCTGTTAATGTTAAAATTGCGCATTCCTCATTAAGAGTACAAATCGCAAGTCCTCTCAAGTCTTGCTATAACTTGAGTGTTTCTATTTGTTCACATAGACCACATGTTGTTTCAGAAAATTTTCGATAAATCAGGTGGCTATCCAACAACATTTTGGGACATTTGACTTTGACATGCTTTCACATAGACCCCACGCTCTAGTAATTCCAACTGATGTGACGGAAAATGCTAGCCCTCATTTTCTGTCTAGTTATACACATGTCAAAATCGTAAAACATGGTTGTGAACAGAACTGCCTAACAGATTTTTTAGTGGATCAAAGAATCAAAACATTTAGTAAACGGTAACAACAAATGTGCAAAGTGGAATGCTTAGGCATGATTTTCAGTTAATTTGATCGTAATCTGTGAAATGGAATGCCAAAATATAACGATTGCAGTTGCAGTGGAATTCTGATATAACTGTTACATACGAACCAATGCAAGAACGGGGATCCTGGACTACAATTTTTTCTCAATTTCGTGCTATCTAATGTGGAAAAAATTAGTTTGTTTCGTCATTATCATTGGTATATGATTGTATTTTTGTACTCTGGCAATGATTCCGCAGAGTTATCCCCACCATTCGTGATTTCATTCATTTATCCTTGTTTAGCGTTTTGGATTGTTGGCGTATACTATTTAATGATTTATGAATGAATCGTGGTGTCTGTCTTGTCATTGTCTGAGGCTTACACTATTTTGGTAGGAATTCTCTTCCGGTTCACATTGAATCTCAAACAAATCTACCTCGTACCGAGTCTGGATTCGTGCCATAATTAGGAGGGTCTGATTAGCGACAGCATGCCATCTACTGAAAATCGTGCATTCTACAAGCTTCTTCCACTTGAAGCATTATTTCATGTGGAATTCAATGTCTTAATTTTTTATGTTCCTTATTTGAATGAAGACATAAGACCGCGTAGAGCTCTGTTAACTTGACGAGGAACCAAAGCGCTATTCATTAGCAAAGTTATACGTTGCTATAGTTGCCGTAGGTGAACAATTTCGTTATTCAATGAGGTTTGAGACATATTTCAATTGTCCATCAGATCGCAGTACTGAGACTTGAGGTCAATGTTGGTGGAACTGATATGTATACTTATTCTTTTTGCTATCCCCATCTCCTGCCATCTAGCAACTCTTTTGATTGTTTATTGTTGTTATTTCTTTATTCACTGGGTATAAAGTAGTACTGCATCACTTTCGAAACAAGTTATTCACAACGACATGATCTCAAAATGAGAAGGCCTGCCCTGGTTCGGAATAATATCAGAGACAGAAACACTGTTAATGTAAAAACTGCGCATTCCACATATAGAGTAAATAACGCAAGTTATCGCAAGTATATATACAGTTCTCAACACACCAAATGGACCACTCATAATTTGACTCTATTTCGAAGACCTGTATTTTTTTGAAAAATTGACCGATCTTCATGCGGTTTTCGATATCAGATGTGATGTTTCATCGACTTCAAAGAGAGCTAGAACAATCTGAAAAAGTCCGCAAAACCGAACTCACACAGGGTGTAAAGTGGAACCATTACACTATGGTCTACATTTCCAATGCTGCCAGAACTCGAGAATTTTTTTTCTGATCAAAAGTCAGTCATATTATGATACACTGGGACCTCATCTCGGGACGTTTTCGTGATTTCTCCTTAATTGGTCATTGGAACAAAAATTCGATTTTTTTTCGAAAGTCTTGCATTTCTTGATTTTTTTCTCTAGAACTCCACTTGAGCTGACTATTGGGAAGAACTGTTCTCATGTTTCATGGAGGATAATGAAAGACGAAAAAAGCACTTTTTTGGATTATACAGGATGATAAGAAACTAGGACAAAATCTCATTTCAGTGAAAAAAATAAAAAATGGTGACTAAAACTATGGCCCATTCGATCCAGTATATTCAGAAACGGCCTTCTCGATATCCATCATTTATATTAGACTACTAACTCGAGATGTTTTCGAAAATTCGCCTCTAAGTGAAATACAGGATGAAATTTTTCAATTCAAACTTGTTTCCTGATATCGATGATTTTCAATATTTATTGCCCAAGTATGAGAAACAGAGAATTGTTGTTCAATATACTGAGTGTTTTACAACTACGATATTACATGAGAAGTCTATCACAAAAAAATTCAATAGAAGTGAAACGCGATGGAAAAAAAAATTTGTAACACTTTATATCAACTAAAACTATTCGAAAAGGGTGATAAGAAAATAGGACAATACAGGGTGAAAATTTTCAATTCAAACTTGTTTCCTGATATCGATGATTCTCATCATTTTATCAACGGATTTCCGATATTAATTGCCCAAGTATGAGACACAGAGCATTGTTGTTCAATATACTGAGTGTTCCACAACTTATCTGACAAATTACGAACTCTAGAAAACAATAATGTTAGAAGAATGTGGTGACCAGCATTATCTCCAGATCTGAATTTGATTGAACATGTGTGGAGCCGAATGAAACTTGACCTATCGAGAAGGCGAGGCACCCCAAAATAATGACAACCTTATCCAGAATGCGCGGCAATATCAATAGACTTCATCAACAACCTCATAAAATCTATGCCAAACCGATTTCATGAGGTTTTGTTGAATCGGGGAGGCCTACCAAGTACTGAAATTTAGGATATAGGACTTTCTAGTTGGATCTTCATAATGCTGAAGAATTATATAATGTCATATTTCGCCAATAGAGCCCTTTTAGAATAGTTTCAGTGGATATAAAGTGTTACAAATTTTATTTTTCATCTCGTTTTACTTCTATAATTTTTTTTTTGTGATAGACTTCTTATGTAATATCGTAGTTGTGGTTAAAATTTGTCAGATAAGTTGTAGAACACTCAGTACATTGAACAACAATACTCTGTGTCTCATACTTGGGCAATAAATATTGGAAACCATCAATATCAGGAAACAAGTTTGAATTGGAAATTTTCATCCTGTATTTCATTTAGAGGCGAATTTTCGAAAACGTCTCGAGTTAATGGTCTAATATAAATAATGGATATCGAGAAGGCCGTTTCTGAATATACTGGATCGAATGGGCCATAGTTTTAGTCACCATTTTTGATTTTTTTTCACTGAAATCAGATTTTGTCCTAGTTTCTCATCATCCTGTATAATCCAAAAAAGTGCTTTTTTCGTCTTTCATTATCCTCCATAAAACATGAGAACAGTTCTTCCCAATAGTCAGCTCAAGTGGAGTTCTAGAGAAAAAAATCAAGAAATGCAAGACTTTCGAAAAAAAATCGAATTTTTGTTCCAATGGCCAATTAAGGAGAAATCACGAAAACGTCCCGAGATGAGGTCCCAGTGTCTCATAATATGACTGACTTTTGATCAGAAAAAAATTTCTCGAGTTCTGGCAGCATTGGAAATGTAGACCATAGTGTAATGGTTCCACTTTACACCCTGTGTGAGTTTTGTTTTGCGGACTTTCTCAGATTGTTCTAGCTCTCTTTGAAGCCGATGAAACATCACATGTGATATCGAAAACCGCATGAAGATCGGCAATTTTTTAAAAAAATACAGGTCTTCGAAATAGAGTCAAATTATGAGTGGTCCATTTGGTGTGTTGAGAACTGTATATAACTTAAGTGGTCCTATTTGGACGATGACATAGGCCACCTTTTTATTAATAAAATTTTCAAAAAATCTGACTTCTACTTTCAGGGCTGTCCGACAAAATATTGGGAAATTTGACTATAACATAGACCTTATTTACGCTTAACATATACCTTATTTAAGCTCTAGTAACACCAAGGGAAGGAAAATATTTTAGCACTCATTGTCTGTCAAATGCTTTATGTAACTGACCTATTTATATTGATGTATGTTCATAACACATGTCAAAATTGTAAAACAGCTGTGAATAGAACTGCCAAACAGATTTTTCAATAGATCAAAGAGTCACAACAGTCAAAATTTAGTGATAACAAATGTGCAAAGTGAAACGATCATGCATGATTTTCAGTGTTATTGATATGTTAAATGCCATGTTTTTAGAGTGCCATATATTTGTAGCTGCTATGGAATTCTGATGAACAAACTTTTTCAATGTTATGCTATCTGGTGTGGAAAAAAGGAGGTTGTTTCTTGGTCATTATTGAAAATCAATTGTGTTTGTACTCTGGAAATGATTCCGCAGAGTTATCCCCACCATTTGAGATTTCATTAATTTATTCGTCTTTGGCATTTAGGATTGTTTGCGGATACTTCCTAATGATTAATGACAGAATCGCGGTGTCTATTGTTATTCAGTCTGTCGTGTCGAGTCTGGATTCGTGACATAATTAGGACAATAGGCGTATACTTTTCAATGATTTATGAATGAATCGTGGTGTCTGTCTTGTCATTGTCTGAGGCTTACACTATTTTGGTAGGGATTCTCTCCAGATTCACATTGAATCTCAAACAAATCTAGCTTGTACCGAGTCCGGAATCGTACCATAATTAGGATAATTCTTGTGCGAGGAAACTTACTGAATTCGAAATTTTTTTGGCGTTCTGATTAGGTTCACATTGAATCTCAAACAATTCTACCCCGTCCCGAGTCCGGACTCGTGCGAAGTGAACTACACGAACAGTGGCGCGAATACAACCGATCTGGGCACGGAAACGCTGAGCAGCGGCACGTATCACACCGCAGCCGACAGCTGCTCGCCCATGTTCACTGGCGCAAAATCAGAGGGTCTGATGAGCGACAGCGGAGTGGAACTCAGGCCTGCGTCCCGGCCGCAGGACGATAGCGACGTTTCCAGCAGTAATGACAACGATGACAAGGTATTTTTTTGTCAATCGCATGGTGTGATGTCCAGGTTTGTCACCGATAGAGTGCCTAGAGCAGAGAGCAGGGGTCACCAAATGTCTCACCGCTTATCGGATAGCCACGTGATAACGGATGACGCGCGCGAGATAACAGGGACGCGATGCACGCGCATGCGTTGCAATTGCGAAGCATGCGCGTGGGTAGCGTTTTATTCATCCATTCCACGTGAACACTGCCGGGCCGAATCAACGAGCATCGCGTGGCGTTTTTTGGCTTTGAAACTTTGTAGAATGTTTGAATCAACATAATATATTTGTGAAGCAGCGTTTTCCAAGATGAACTTCATTAAAAATAAATTTCGATCTCGTCTTACCGATGACCATCTCCAGGATCTAATGGCAATAGCTTGCACCAACTCAACACCAGACTTCAGACATATTGTTCAGTAAAAAATGTCATTTCTCGCATTAATACTGTACTTATTAAGTTTTTTTTCAATTAGATGTTCACTTAATAAACAAATGTTCTGATATCTTTTCGTAACGTTATCGTCTACCAAACGGACCGCCAGATTTATATTTGTTATATACGGACCCGCAGTGAAACTAATTGGTGATCCCTGGCCTAGAGGATCTAACGTTTACTTTTTCGAGAAGGAAAGATGCCTTTTGTTGATTATCTCTGATTAAATTGTCGATTTATTGACCTCAAATAGAAATCATTCGAACTCTTCATAGACACCGTGAGTGTGAGAAAGGGTATTAGTCAGCTGGGACGTAAAGCGGTGGTAATCCGCGGTGTGGATTTATTCATGTGGATTTCACCGGCTCTGATACAGGGTGAGTCATGAGGAACTGTACATACTCCTACCACTGATAGAGGCCCTTGAGGGGAATGTCTGTCTAATCAACATCAGAAAGTTTCTTCTCTTCTTTACCTACATATATATATGGTAAATTAGGAGATTTGGCAAAAACATCTGGGCATTACTTTTCAACAGTTCCTTCGATTCGTCTGATTGTTTCATGGAATACTCCTCTACTAAAACCTAATAAATATGAAATAAAAAGTCAACAGGACTCACATTTTTAATGCTTTAGCCCAATGAAAATCAACATGTTCTCATTTCCAGGTCTGGATTTCGTCATTTCATTTCTTGTGGAGGGTAATAATCACCATGTAGATCTTTTTCGAATAAGTGGATGGGGTATCTGTTCAGATGTTAATGGTCATCGATTCAAATAATACAAGATAGTCGATAAGAAAATTAAGTTTTATTCACAATAATTTTTCAAAAGCTATACTGACAAAGGCGGATAATAATTCTAGTACATAATACTGAGAATTGAAATCATAAGATTATCTGTAGCGATGGCTATCAACATTTTCACAGATACCCCATCCACTGATTCGAAAAAGATCTACAGGGTGATTATTATCCTCCACAAAAAACTTAAATTACTTAATCCAGGCCTGAAGATGAAATAATATGTTGATTTCCATCTAGCTGAAGCATTGAAAATGCAAGTCTCACATTTATTCGTGAAATTTATGGGTTGTGAATTATTAATTTTCAAATAAATACATTATTTGCCAAATTTTCGTTTTTTTCATAAAATTTATAGTTTTTTTTTTCAAACTGAAGTGAAATTGTGAGCAAAATTTGGAATATTCTATTATTGGTGTTTGTTCGTGACCTTTGAAACTTCCCTGTCACAGTTTACAAAAACGATATACAGGATGAAATTTTTGCTATTAACCAAACTATCAAAATTTTTCATGAACGGACCTGGATTTTTCCGATTATGAAGTCAGTCGATTAGAGAGTAGTAGCGGAATATTCCATGAAAAAAACAGACGAATCAAAGAAGCTGTTCGAAAGTTATGACCAAAAGATGTCATTACCAAATCTCATAATTCATCCTATATATTGGAAAAGAAGTAAAGAAGAAACTTTCTGATGGACATTAGGTATTTCCGTCAGGGGCCTCTATTCGTGGTAGGAGTATGTACAGTTCCTCATAACTCACCCTGTATAAATATTTGTAAAAATAATTAGCACAGCCGATTAGCCGCCGGTGTGTTACTTCCCAATAGAGCGAAGCCAATATTCGTTGTCTATCTAGAGTGTTTTCCTTCGAAGGTCGAATATCAAATAGCTACTGGAATATGCAAAGTACGGAGAGAGAAAATCTACATATTTTTGTTGGTCAGCAATTATTTTATCGATTTTTTAAAATGTTTTCAACTATTCCCTGGTTATTTTCGCCTCTATCCAAAATATTTTGAAACTATCCCACGAAGAATCTACTGTTTGAGTTTTCGTGAATAATATGTATATCTGCAGTTTTCCGTTGGAATGATACTGAAAATCTCATTCCCATCTTTTGTGACATACATTTCTCTCATATTTTTTAGCTGTTTTCACTCTCTAAAAAGCATTAAATGTTAGATGTTCTAGCTAGGCATTCTTGTGATCGTTAAGTCCGCATGATATGGGAATTTATGGAGTTTATAAACAGTTTCTGCTTAAAAAATAACGAAGTTGACAATTTTTTCTGTCGGTCGGATACATTTTTTCCTTCGGAAAAATAACAGAAAAGGTATTTTATTCAAATTTCCAAGAAAGATCGAATGAAAAAGTTGTTTCTTCTTTGGTTTTTCTATCCACTTCAAACATGATGATTTCGTGGGTTCTCGTTCACTTGTTTCATTTTTCGATTCATTCAAAAAATTTAAACCGACCTTAGTTGAGATGTAATTAGTATAGTCACTTGCAAGTGCTTTATCTATTTAAATATGGATTGTATCTAATTGGATTTTTAACTGATATTCTCCTGGATGACCAGGTGGCTGTTCCCTTTTTGGCTTTGGGCATTCTGCCCTCCATCACTTTTATCAAATATTAATTTTATTTCCTGACATTGCTGTTACCTTTTTTTCACTTCCACAAATTTCCGTAAATCCTGCTGATGATGGGCTATTAATAGTCCAAAACATGTTCAGATATTCCTGATGATAATAAATTCGTGGAGATGACTAAGTGTCTTGTTTCTGAATCCTAAAATAATGCTTATATGCTAAAAAAATAATATAATACAAGATGAAAATGTCCATACACTTTTTTATTACACTTTCTCAATAGAATACATGCATGTTATTGGCAATAACTAACATAATCTTCTCTATCTTCACCACTTTTGACTTATGACCTCTAATACGTGTGATTTGTATGTTTCTATTTTATGTTGTGTCCGTTACGCTAAAAGGTGGTGGTTAGCGATTCACAATCTACAAGTTCATTGGAAACTAATTCGCCTGCAAACAAAATATCAAATAGAGAAGAAATTATACTGCGAAGATTGGCGCAAAGAATAAACCAGCAAAAGCAGTCGATACTACGAAATTTGGACAGCCAGTGTCCGAAAATTTACTTAGATAACCAAATAGCAGTGAGTATCTGGAATTTTTGTAGCTTGATGTTTCGTTTGGATGGTTTGGGTGTATGCAGGTTTATTCAAATGCTATATTCATCTTTGACATCTGAAACACTGGGATTGAACGTGACAAACCATTTTAATCAGTACCACTGACAATCTATATTTCAATTTGAAATTTGAGCAAAATTAAAAATAAGGCGAAAACGTGACACTAGTGATAGATGTTGGATGTTATTGATTCATATTTCTTCATTTGTTGTCTCAGAAGTTGAGGGGAAGCAGATTCTTTCATACCAGAGTCCATATTGGTCACGTGATACATCTTGGGCGTATGCGCATTTACTCTCAGAAAACCTTGAAAATTTTAATGGACTTAGCGAGTCTCCCGAAAGTAGGGAATAACATCCTTGAAAGTCTAGATAAGTACGCCAATAATTATCTGCCTCCACACCGCGACCTTTTCAGATCTATTGTGTCTGCACTCATCTAATAACACGAATTTCAACATATTATGTGATGGGACTGATGGGAGTGCTTTGAAAGTTTTATTAGCCTCTTAAAAAAGTTGGCTGAACTTCATTAGAATGTTGAAATTTTACATCCTTCAAGCCATCTATCATCGAATATGAAAACCCCACACTTTGATCTTGAATTCAATTGCTTATAATAAAATACCGGGTGATTCAAAATTCGATGTAAATATTTCAAGGACATTGTTGAGATCAAGATAAAACTTTCTTTATATAAAAATGTGTCCTAAAATGCACCCCCCGAGCTTCAGTCACTGTAAGTTGGGTAAAAACAAAAAAAATAACTGAAATAATTGTGATCATGATGATGGATCAAGTGCAAGTATTCCAGTACTGCACGCCTCTGAAATAGCAGTATACAACCGATTAACAATTCTCAACACTAAACCTATTCTTGCATTATGAAAAATATCGTCAGTGAAGTATCAAACACACCCGCTGATGTAGCAGAAAGTTGAAAATTTGTGAGTTGAATCTCCTTTTCTCCTACCAGAGAAAAATCGAAGACTTGCAGTCGTCAAGGTGAATTTTAGGGGCCCAAGGACCTGGAGCGCAGCTTAATAAATGTCTAGTCAGGGTCCAATCTCGGACAGGCCACTATTTCCTTATTCGTCATGTTCATTTCTTTTTTCGTTCGCCGGCGACAATAGTGGCACCTCTCAAAAAAATATAAAACACGTGAAACAATTTGTCAGAAATGAATTAAAAATATCAAACGTAGCTTTTAATGAAGTCAATAAAGTGCATACTTATGGGACTAGACAATTGAATTACTTGATAGCATATACATTCAAGTCGAACATTGGCAAACAATCTATATTTCATAATGGAAAAATGTTATACAATTCATTACCGAATGAATTCAAAAATATACATGATGTTAGAAGATTTAATGTCAATCTCAAACAATACCTGGTCAGGACAATTCGATTGAAAAATATTTGACATGATTTGATTACTCAGAATTGAAATGTTATAACTTGCATCTTAAGAAAAAGTATGAATTTGTTCCCACTGAGTGGAATTCTTTAGTTGACTTTGTGTCATGTGCAGTTGACTCTGCTTCCTAATGTTTGAGCAGTAAAGACGCATTGAAGAAATAATATCGATTTTGTTTCAGCATTAATGGCACATTTTGAGTTATGCCACTATAACTTTATGATTTCTGCTATTTTAGTCAAATGTATCAGTAGGTATTTTGAAGTATGCATTGCACATTTCATGAATTTCCATCAAAACTGTATCATTTGGTTTGAACGATAACATCTTTCAAACTATCTCAACAATCCCCAATGATTAAGCATATGACAACCCACCAATTAACAAAGTCAAAGTCGAGTTCATGTATAATTTTTGTTTTCAGTATTTGCATTACCTCGTAAACTTGTGCAGGGTTAGGTAAGCATCCAAACACAATATGTCAAAAACGTCATTACAACACGAGAAATTGAAATAGCTCAAACTTCAAACGCAGTTTTGTCCATAATATGGGCTGTGCCACTATTGTCACCGGTGAACCTTTTGTTGATAGCATCGTTGGTAGAAAAAAACCTTGTTTTCGAACACAAAGTGATATTGCCGCACCCAGTTTTACCTCGCGCAAACTTTTTTGTCGAGCGGCAATCCATCACTTTGCGCTCTAAATACACTAACAGCTCTTGTTTATGTAGGTTTTACAAGAACTGCAACGTCAATACATGGTGAGATATGGCTGTGCGTCATTGTTGACACCGACTCAGGAGCATCCCCTTCAAGATCTCGACAGTCCGAGCCCTGTTGGTCCATTCAGGACAGGGTCTGCTTCGGCCCTTTACTCACCGTCGGCCCAGGTGCGTTTTCGTTTTAATGCTACTGAATTTAGATCCTTTCGATATGAAAATACCGAGTTGAGGCAATATATTTTTTGTTTTCAGATACAAAATCAACGATTATATCATCAGTGTCTTCATAGTTCTATGCCTTCAATTTATATGGGTGAGTTTGAATGATATTTGAACCATCTTCAGACACTGAAATTGATTTAAAAATTTTTACATCAAGTCGAATTTGCAGCTTTGCTATACATATACCGGGTGTAACATGAACATGGTACATCAAACCATTTTGATGAGATTAAATTGCTGATAAATTGAGAAATTTGACATTTTTGACCGGATTAAATTCTTTTTAGCATTACACCTGTCGATATCAGTACATCAGACTCGATCACAATAGTCATGGCATACTCAGATGGAAGATAAAAAATGAAATTAAAATCTTTACTGAAGTTTGAAATGTCACTTATGTGGTATCATTGGATATAGAAAATGATGCAGAATTCTAAAATGCAATGATATACAGGGTGTTCCATTTGAAAATCAAAAGTTATTACCACTTCAGATGAACCTGGAAGTGAAAAATAAAACCTATTTATGTCAAAACATGGAGTTTATCAAGTTGATGGGTTATTCCAAATTTCAATCACTCATCTCTAATACTGAAGGAGAAAAAGGGGGTGTACCATGATCCTGTTACACCCGGTATATATAGTGAGAAAAAGTGTCTCTCCTTGCCTAAATTCTTCTCCTGAAGAAATGTTGAAACAAACAAATCCTCTATCATTATTTTTAACTAGAGGTTCTTCATCAATGAGTTTATTACTGGTTGCAGATAGCTCTTAATCATTGTGAAATAACAAAAATGATACAGGGTAATCTAAACAAGTCCAGAGGTTATTGAGAATCTTGTCAAGTCCCTCAGTTCTCTAGAGAGAAATAATGTTAGGTCTTCAAAATACAGTGTGCGTTTTTCCCTAACTTTAAAAAAATGAAATCAAAAGATGTCCAGTATTTATAATATTATGTCTTGACTTGGAATTGATTTTGAAATTTTGTTAGATAGTACTATGGACAATATTTTCTTAAAACCTCTCAAATAGCAAGAAGGGTTAACTTGTGTAGTTTGTGAAGAAACATGTTCAATTGGATTTTCTCAATTACCATGCGAATTTTTTATAGGAATGTTGATAACACTACTCTCATATACTTGAAGAAAATCCTATTTTTTAGAATTTGTTACTACACAGATTTTATAATTTCAGAAACCGAAGAAAAACAACATGAATTCTATGACCATGAATCAGAATATTATTACCTTTGATTTGATATTTTCTAGTCTAAAAGATCAGCAACTTTCATTTTTCAATGACAAATTCAAGTAAATGTGACTTGCGCAGATGCGTCTCTGTCAGAAGTCATACACCAATTTCTTACTATCATTTTCTTCGAGAGGTGGTGAAAATTTCTGAAAATTCAAGTCGATTCTTCAAATGAGAATCTATTATATTATGTGCAGTGGATATCAGAATACAAATATTTTCATCAGACCTAGCTTAGTATGCTGAAACTGTTATTTCATCGTGAAAAGTTTGAATTTAAAGAAGGTAGCACATAAAACTATCAAATTCCCTAAGTATAAAAATATATTTAATGGCAGTTAATGGAAACAACAAATTTAAACAAGCAGTGTAGATGAATACACCTTGAATAATTTTGTCATAATTTGATTTAATTCAAAATATGAATACCCAAATCATGACAGCAAATAAATATTTATTAGGTCAAGATCCTTGATATATATAGAGATAATACATCTTTTTCGTTAATAGGTTGTTGATTTTTGTCAAAATTGTGAAACGACTCAGTACAGATAATTTGAGGAAGTTGTGGAAAAAATAATCGAAATACCTGTCAATTGATATCTCCCTTGACTTTTCTGGTCATTTCACATTTTTCAGTTGACGGTGCCCATAGCGTTTTCTGACAAAGTTCAGTCACTACCAAGTTATAACTTATTATACTTGACATCATTTGAATCTCGTACACTGTATAACAATCACATTCCATATTCGTAGTTTAATTAATGTTATTCCTTTCCTTTCGCAGAATCCGATTCAATCTTCAATATAACGAGTTATTGCCTTAGAGGTACTGGCTTCAGAACTCATTATGAATATGAAGTGAGGATATGCACCGTGGACGACCGATGGTATATTCTTCGAAGATACAGTCGATTCAGGGATTTATATATTGCGATGAAAGCTCGTTACAAAGACAAAGTAAGATTATTGGCCCAACTTCTCTTTGAAACAATATATTATCTGTATTCAAACTAATTAGGTCTATTTATTTTACTTGATTTTTGGAATTTTCTCCTCGTTTCTATAAAATAAAAATATTCGTATTATTTCAATATATTTGTAGTGGGACAAATCGGATGATTTTCCCCAAAATGTCACTGCATTTAACAAATTTTTTCTCTCAGGGAGCCTAAAAAAATAATCCAGTAGCTTGTCAGTGACAATTTGTTTGAAAAAAATGTTTGAATCTGCTCCCGTTCTCAACATGTAAATGCAAAATATTCCTCTTTGAAAGTTGTGCTGCTTATAGTTTGACACTCTTCAGTGTCATACTCATGTTGGCATATGAATGAGTGATTTTAGTCTACAAATGAGTTACAGAATGTTTTCATTAATTGATCTTGAATCTACCATTTCCATGTTCAGAATTTTGACCAAATCTCGTTCAGAGATTTTATAAATTGCGGCCTGATTCAAACAGCACGTCAACCAGTATCGACATTAATGACGTCAGTTGATATTGCAACACCTTGCCAAGTCGCAAATTACAGTTTAGTGGTTTGGAAGTTGTCGAACGCGAGTATTATTATTCAAAGTATACCGAGTAGTAATCACTAGTCGATTAGTGGGCTGTTTTTTTAAAATTACGTTTCAATTTCATATTTTCAAGATGTTTTCGGTCGATATTAAGGTTCTAAAATCATCAGTATTGCCACGGTAATTTTCAAACAGCTAGAAATTTACCGCAAATAAAAACTGACGTCACGATTTCGTAAGTAGGGGCAGACCATAGCACAGTTGCCATAATGTTGAAATACGAATGGGAACTTCAGAAATAGTATTTATTTAAAAATCTATTGCATAATATGATGAATTTGTTTGTAATAATTATATCAATTCACACTAGAGGAGATATGGTGTAACGGTAAACGTGGCAACACAGGATTGTGGGCGTTGTCCTGTCAGTTCTCAGCATTCAGCACAGCATTGCCAAGTTCCTAGCCAACATTTACATGATGTTTTGTTATGGAGTATGAAGAATATTTAACAGACTGGTTACTCGGAAAGTCACGAATGATTTTCTATATCATGGATTCCTCCCATCAGGTCAAATGAAATATATGATTCGGGTGTAGTTTTGTTCAACGACAGGACTCGTTAACAACTTTTCAATAACTTGATTATAATTCGTGACTTGACATCCTTGCTCCATGAGTGGGAATGGAAGATTATCTGACCAATAAGGAAACAGCATAACAACAAACGGCACCATGTTTGTATTCGATGTAACCCAGAACATGGACAAATGGTGGACATGACGGCACGTTTGAAATGAACTCTGAAATTCACCAATTTAGAACAACGCATAGATACATTATTTACATAAAAAACGCGTGCGAAGTGTTCCAAAAATGGATTTAGGTCCCTAACGACACAGTGGAGTAATTGAATGCCAATTATTCACTGTCAGTCCAGTAGCCCATCATTCAATATCAACTTTTTTATTCAGGTTGCAGGTATACCATTTCCGTCAAAAATACTTTTTCCCAATACCGAAATGGTAGCCAGATCGAGAAAGAAGCAATTAGAACTGTACCTCAATAGACTAATAGAGACCTGTAAAAATCATCCAGCCCTTCCACTGGCCTCTGGTGAACCCGTCACTAAAGAAGCCTTACTGAAGATTTCACCCTTTTTCCGAAAAGGGCCCTGTGAAAATGGGAAGTGCACTACTTCATGATTGAAGCTTTATCTGTGTTTTCAAATCCAAGACCAATGTTTCCTTAACATTATTCTACTGATAGTTTTATCATATGTTATATATTTTTAATAGTTTTTATATTGTGATGTAAATATAGTTGATTCGTTTTAACGATTGTGGATAGGCAATACTAACTTATTGAATTTGAAAATAGTTTTATTTATTCCTCTTTGTGGTCAACATATGTGCCAATATGCCCCCCAAAGTATATATTATATGCAAAAAAAAACATAAAAAAAAGGTCCTTAAATGCCTTGAGAAAAAATCTATTCACGTTTTATTCCCTGCAAAAAACTTTCTGGTAGGTTTGAATATTTGATAAATAATTATGTTTGATTTGATCATCCATCATCACTTGTATTCGACGAATCTATGAATCAAGAAACAAGTTTGATGAGATATTCATAGTATATATAATCGACCCGATGATTCGAAGCTGTGAGAAGCGCACCACCGGCCAAGCACGGTTTGAAAATTCGAACTCTGAGCGACCATCGAGCGAGTTTGCAAGCCAGTGGATCACGCAGAAAGTGCTATAGTTGAAAAAAGTTGGAACCAGCGTGACAAATGGAAATAGCTTTTAATGAATCATGATAGTGAAAATATTCAGTATGATTGAAATACAGATTTTGTAATATTGCTCTGTTTTGTCACTAAAGTACACGTTTTCAATTCAAATTTAATTGCACAAAAATCGCTAATAATAAGTTCATATTATGTTAGAGATAGGTACAAAACCCTGAACACCATAATACCTATAAAAAGAATACTCAGTATATTTAAAATTTCCTTGTATATTGAAAAAATTGACAATAAATCATTAATATATAACATTGAGTTATGACTTTTATTGGCGAAATTACAGAAATATATCATTTTTTCCCACGTACTGATAATTTAATAATAAATTTTATGAGGTCAATTCAACTTGCCCCTGGTCAACTATTGCATGCCGCACACCAACATAGTAAGGCACCAGAAATATTTATACAATATAATAATTTAAAAAATACATTGGAAAAAATGTTACTATTCATGTCTTGTTTTTATACAAATGATAGGTGGCACTGATATTTTCTCAACAAGGGGACCTGCCTGAAACAACAAAAACAAATTAGTCAAGATATGTACTGTTAAAGTCAATTTGTAAAAATCATAACCAGACGGTATTCAACTAGTATACCTCTTTCAACGTATTATCGTATTGATCCTTGGATATGTCAATTTTTGGGACACCAATTGTTCTTGACTAAATAATATTGAAGGAAATAAATAAATTGTTACTTTGAAGTCCTGTTTTTTAACAATACATTTGACTAAGATAAGAACAAGATTAGTCAAATCATGATTTGATTTTTTATATTAGTATTAAGAATCTACATCCTAGCATTACTTCTAGACCACATTACTAAACAAATGAGATGAAAGGCAAGGAAGGAAATAGATATTCACGTAACAAGCTAGGAAACTTTTTGTTACAATATATTCTTTTAATTTTAGCGAGAAAAATGCTACTGAAATTGATCTGATCGATAAATTCAGTATTGAGAATTGTGTGGCAACAATATTTTGCTTGTCAGTTTCATAAGACAAAATATCGCGTTCGACAACAGAAGTTTGGATGACACCATGAACAATACATCATCAGTTATAAAACATTTTACTTTAAGCAACTAGTTACGTAAGGTAGGATGTTTCAAAAACTTCCGTCAGTTTTACATATTACATGTCAAAAGGTATACCAATTTCGCATTTCGTTCCTAATAGAATGTTTTGTCTGAAACCTATCTTCCATCTTTGAAGGATGTTCAAATAACTTTTGAAATATTTTGGACCATTTCACTCTTGAAATTCTCAGAAGTAGAAAAATTCATCGATATTCCATAAAAACAAAGTGGATAAATGTGGCTAAGCAATAAACCCATATATCACCAACACCAAAAAATATGTGAGAACAATAAACAAGGAAATGATCAGTCTTTCTGCATTAAAATTTAAAAAATGTAACACAGATCGATAACATTCAGCAAATTGAAATCACTGGATGCCAGTACGTGTGTTTTCATGTATCCAGACACCCAAGCATTGAACATTACAAAATATGCCAAAAAAATATAAATTAGGTGTCTGGGAAATGTGTAATATAATTGGTCATTTGAATTTTTCTTGACCCAGTATAAAGAATTTTGTTTGAGTTAAAAATCATTGCAAAGCACCAAGAGTGCAAATTTTTAACCTTGATTTGGCCAACAAACACAGATCTATTTTGAATCTTCAATCACGATTTCACACCTGCTCAACACCAAGTAGAGGTAAATCATACTGGTGTGGATTGGACATTAAAAAGAAATACTAGAATGTAGTGCGAATAACACGAAAATTATGAATTTCCTATACTTTTCATACGCACATTTACTAAAATTTGTAAGGTTTTTGTACCCACTAACTTTCAGACTTCCTGAAGAGCTATCACTGAATGGATAGAAAGCTTCTCATTTGTGAACTCCCAGATGTCCTGCTTTCACGGTATAACTTCATTATTTCACATCAATCACCCTGTATTTCATGACATAATCAGAATCATCGGTTCAAATTGACTCACACCCAAGGCAATTGAAAAGATGGACCAGAACAACTTCTTGGATCCTCCATATTTCAAACTAATTATAACAACATGACATTGACAAAAAACAATGCATTCGACAAATTACACTCAATTTTACAGAAATTTGCTGCCAAGCATTGAAAGCATTGAAAAAATATCAATCAATAATAAATAGGCGTCTGGAAAATGTGTAGTAAATCGATTATTCAAACTTTCCTTAAGATCTACCATTCAATTGGTGTATCTATGTTTTAATCATTTTGCTCAGGATAGTGATTGGACATATACAGTATGATGCAAATGTATGGAATAAATTCATTATTTCAGAAATGGGCGACATTTGAAGAAATTCCAAAAACACGTGAGTTTTAATTTTTGAAGCCTCATCTCATGACATTCATATGAGAGATGTTACGTCACTGGTGTAGAAGTAATGACGTAATGGACGATTTTTTCAAATACAAGCAGGGGTCATGTGACACCTCGTTTGAAAGGTCTACTGATCGTCTATCCAACAGTCAAAATTTTGCATAAGAATATTGCAATTGGAATGGATTATCATTTGGTTAACTGAATCTTGCAGAGGTCTGCTACTGAGAATTGAACATCAAAGGGTCGTCTAGTTGAAAAAATACACAATAAAAAAAGTTCTGAACTCTAGTTTTTGGATTTTTTTCGGAAGTCGCCTTGTTTTGAAATGAATTTATTCCATACATTTGCATCATACTGTATATCATTTCGTTATCAGATGACGGTAGAAATCTGCAGTCGGCTCTCCTACTAATATAAGATTCGACTTACATATCAATTCTCTTTTTCTGATAGATAATGGCAAGATTATTTTTGATTGTCATTTCATTCAGAATATGGATTGAATATTTACTGCAGATAACAGAGAATAGAACACACAACTCAAGAATCAGATTATGAGGATTATCTTTGAATATTTGCATCTTGACAAGATAAAACAAGGATTTGATGATGAAGGTGACAGCCGATAATAACGTCAGGAAGTTAGGTTGACAATGTAGTCTATCTATTATTTTTCTATTCCTGAGAACTTAGGCATTACACTTTTGCCCGTGCCGCAAAATAATTTAGTATTAAATAAAATCTCGATCATCATCAGGAATACTAGGATATTTTTATTGGTACTGAAGCCGTAAGTATAAAAATATTCAATACGTGAGTATTAGGGACTATGTGGAACTATTGTCTTCTGTGAATGTGAATACTATTATGACGTAATCGAAACCGGTGGTTTTCAAAGTCACCGAATGTAATTAACGAAAAAACAAATTGATTTTATATAATGAATGATTGCATCAAATACTATTTATACACGGAATGATCAATGTGAAATAGGTTATGACGTAAATTCGACTAGAATGTACAACAACTAAGAAGGGCAGTCATCAATTTCAATTCCAAATTTGATCGTTGTTAGCGAAAAGCTATCATGTTGCGGTTTTCGTTGGTCTGCCGAGATTTAGTTCATCTATTTCATCATGGAATAATATGCATATTATTTACATTGATTTCTTTTTTCAAAATCACGATGATACTCTAGATCACACTCTCTAGCGGAAACGGTGATATGAATATGAAACCAATTCAAATCACAGTTGATAGAACATGAAAAGGCCTTTCCAACGAGCCCAAGATAACCAGTTACAGACGTTTAGAAAAAACATAATTTGACGTTCCCCATACTACTTTATTTTTTGAGATAGGACAAAAAGTGTCAAACAAAAAACTAGAAATTTATCAAGGATCAACATGCATATATTTTCAGAACACCTTATTACTACTAAATGCGGAGAAAATTTCAATTATCTATGTACTCATCGCCGTTACGCCACCTAGCGGTTATTTTAGAAAGATAAAAATATTTTCCAGCTATTTTTTGGGGTCACTTTTCTTGATATATATTTTTTTCAAAGTTGTATCATTATTTGTTGTAGAGATATAGCCGACGGCCGTTCTTAGATATACAGTGAGGACGTAAAAAGTCCTCCCCTCCCCTTATTTTTTGAACGGAAGAAGCTATTGAGGTCGGGTAAAATTCAGGTAAAAAGGTACTACTTTTACTACTTTTTGGCATAAAAATGATTGTGGTCACGTGGCCTAGTGTCAAGAGGGTACCATCAACTTTTTTTTTTCAAATGTAAAAGGGGGTCACGTGGCACCTGGTTTTGAAGGCCTTCCGATTCTCTATCCAACACCGCTGTGTTTGTGAAAATCGACCAAGTCGTTTCAAACTGACAAGTGTTTGAAATTTGCTTCAAAAATAAATAAGGTAAAAAAAACTGGAACAAAAACCACATTTTAAAATACCAATAATATGCGCACCTGTCTTACCACAAAAAATTGACTCTTCGACCATAATCAGTGACGGAGTTGAAATTCTGCTGCAATTAGTTGAAATAATTTCTTTGTGAAATTTTTGAAGCAAATTTCAATAGCTTGTCAGTTTGAAACGGCTTGGTCGATTTTCACAAACACAGCGGTGTTGGATAGAGAATCGGAAGGCCTTCAAAACCAGGTGCCACGTGACCCCCTTTTACATTTGAAAAAAAAAGTTGATGGTACCCTCTTGACACTAGGCCACGTGACCACAATCATTTTTATGCCAAAAAGTAGTAAAAGTAGTACCTTTTTACCTGAATTTTACCCGACCTCGATAGCTTCTTCCGTTCAAAAGATAAGGGGGGGGGAGGACTTTTTACGTCCTCACTGTATATTCACCATATACAACCCCATTCAGGAATCATTTGTGATGGTATAAAAGTGTAGGATTTTTTTAGTGGAGGTTTATGTTCAGGTCCTTAATTTGAGGATTTTTTCATGTTTAACAGCAACATAACATAAACCTTAATATGCCGTCGATTCACGTGAATCGAGACACAGCATATTATTTTCGAGAACGAAGATGAGAAAATAAGAATGCTTCTGCGCAGTCCAAGGACCGTTTCAACCATTTGGAACAAACCTATATTAAAAACCGTGTTAAAAAACACTCACCTAATCACTTTCACCGTCAGAATCGCTCTCCTCCTCGGCGTTTTGCAGCCAATCGATGAACTCCTTCATCTGCTCGACGAACATCATCTTCCCTTTGACGTTGTAGTCCTGCTTGTACCACTTGAGGATCGACTGCTCCGAGATGACGTCCGTCTTGTAGAACAGCATCACGATCTTCTGGAAGGCCTTCATGAACGTCATGTTCGAGTAGCAGTAGTCCTGCACTTTGAGCAGCAGGCTGATCTCCGCCTTGGCCGATTCGGTGAAGGCGGCGAACAGGTTGGTGTAGTGCTTGAGGTGTCTGACGGCCTGCTCGGTCACCAGTTCCTTACAACGACAAATCAAGCAATGAACAAGCATGTTTTTTGTGTGCTTTTTTTCAATTTTTTATTCCTCATCTCAACACACTCAATGTACAGGGTGATTGACTATGGATTTCTCGACTTCAACAGCTGATATCTCGAAAACGAAAAAAGATATTTGAAATTTGGAAAAAGTTACTTGAATGAGATGTCATTTCCTTCTGGAAAATGTGTTCTCTGCTTGATTTTATCATCTCATATACCGGGGTATGTGAAAAAAATTTTTCGCTATTTCGAAAGAGCTATCTTTCCTGATTTTGAAAATATATACTTTTCATATATTCTATCGAGTGCTTGACGAAATATAAGCAAAATTAAATATTAATATTTGGTCCAAGTTATAGCTATGGTTGAAATAGAATGAGGTGATGAATAAGTGAATTGACATTTGGTCAACATTTTAGTGCGCAAAATTTCGACAATTTTTTCACGATGCCATATCCACTGGAACAAAGAAGAGATATTTTGGAGTGGTTTTTCTCAGTTAATAAAAATCTTGCTGAAACACTTCGTATGTATATGAGGAGTTATCCAGGCAGGAGATTACCAAGTAAGAATTATGTAAAGTATTTGGCTGCTAATTTGACAGAACTTCCAGTTTGTCGAATATCAAGAGAATAGTGAGAAGGCAAGACAACGAAGACGAGGAACTTCTTGTAATCCAGTATTTTGTTGAGGATCCTTCACGGTCAATAAGAAATGCAGTGAGAGAGTTTGGTTTCAGCTATTATTTTGTTCAACATACCTTAAGGAAATATAAATATAGGGATTTCAGAATTAGACCATGCCACAAACTCAATTATGATGATAATGAGAAGCGGATTGAATTTTGTCTTGTCATATCTGAAAGATTAAATTTAAGTAAGTATAAGTGTAAGTGTTTCAGCAAGATTTTTATTAACTGAAAAATAGCACTCCAAAATGTCTCTTCTTTGTTCCAGTGGGAAAATTGTCGAAATTTTGCACACTTATTTCACTGGAATGTTGGCCAAATGTCAATTCACTTATTCATCATCTCATTCTATTTCAACCATAGCTAACTTGGACCAAATATTAATATTTAATTTTGCTGATATTTCGTCCAGCCCTCGATAGAATATATGGAAAGTATATATCTTCGAAATCAGGAAAGATAGCTCTTTCGAAATATGCGATAATATACAGGGGGTTCCATTTGAAAAACAATTTTTTTACGAACCCTGTATATGAAATAATACAATCAAGCAGAGAACAAATTTTCTAGAAAGAAATGACATCTCATTCAAGTACCTTTTTCCAAATTTCAAATATCTTTTTTCGTTTTCGAGATATCAGCTGTTGAAGTCGAGAAATCCATAGTCAATCACCCTGTACAGGGTGGACAAAATTGGGCGTTTTCACGGGCTATCTCAGTAACTAAAGGAGTTATCGAAGAACCGATAAACATGTTACGGGTTCGATTTTGAAGAAACCTCTAAGTTGGCTCATTCGGATTTTTGATATCTTCATTCGTTTGAAAAATGGCCAATTTCGTTTTTATTTCCTGAGTGCTTTATGGTGAGGAATATTGAAAATTTTCGAAAGTTTATTCATATAGTATGATGCGAAAAATCTATTGGCACCATTAGAAATTTTATACAGGGTGACATTGAAAAGATACGGCATCCAATTATATTTTTTCTTATGGAACACCCCGTATATTTTGGCACAGTTAGATAGTCCCAGGCGTTTCAATTGCAAATATATATATAATTCTACCTTTTCCTTAGAAGAATATATGAGTTTAAAAAGTTTTGTATGCTCAAGTTCCTGAGATATCAGCCGACAAAGTTAGTAAAAACGTCGTGTCAGGGTAGGATTGACAAGGAAAAACGTTTTTTTTTTAGTAAAAATAAGACAAAGTAAGAGACAGTGTATTGATCGGAACTCATATCACATAAGTTATAGTAAATCTGGGTGAGTACGCGGTACCGTCAAAATAATTCATTTTTTGGAAAAAAAATAGAACACTATTCCAAAATCAACAAATTGTATTTTGTGGAACATTATAGTTTTTGTTCATTGTAGGCTTCATTACTATCTCTGTTTGAAAAATGAATTTCCAAATCACGAATGACAGATATATGATATGACAGGTCGATCTCATAGATGTATGAGCTTTTCTATCATATCAGTGCGAGTATTACCATATAACTGCTGTTAGTTGTTTTTCGTTTCTGATAAAAAAGATGGGAACCGTTCAAATTTTAAACATGTTGAATGAAAAAATGAATATAATAAATATGATTTTTTCTAGATTGAAATTAGAAAATGTGACACATCTTGATAACATTCAGCAAACTGAAGTCACTGGATGCCAGTACGTGTGTTTTTATGTAATCCAGGCACCCAAGCATTGAACATTACAAAAAATGTCAATCAATAATAAATTAGGTGCCTGGGAAAATTGTGACATAATTGGTCATTTGAATTTTCCTTGATCCAGTATAAAGAATTTTGTTTGTTAAAGATCATTGCAGAGCACCAAGTGTGCAAAATTTCAACCTTGATTATACCCAATTTAATGATGTTCAAGTCTCAAATCTCGGCAACATTTGGCTTACAAACTCACAGATCTATTTTGAATCTTAAATCATGATTTCACACCAGCTCAACACCAAGTAGAGGTAAATCATACTGGTCTGGACTGGACATTTCAAAGGAATACTAAAATACAGCTCGAATTACAGGAAGATGATGAATGTGCTATATTTTTTATGTGCATATTTTCTGAACATTGTAAATTTTTTGTACTCCCAGATCTCCGGCTTTTACAGGAAGTGGATAATAACTTCATTATTTCACATCAATCATCCTGTATTTCATGACAATCAGAATCAACGGGTCATATGGACCCTCACACAAGGCAATTGAAAAAAAGAACCAGCACAACTTCTTGGATCCTCCATATTTCAAACTAATTATACCCTTTCATGAAATATGGAGTGAATTGTTATAAATTGCTGAACATTAGAAGGGTCTACGAGCAGGAAAGCCAGAAGAAGAAATCATAATCTCAAAAGTCGGCGGCTTTGCAACAGTCCATATTTCTAGTCAGACAAAATGTACAACTTTCCTGAGAGAAGCTGATAGAATTCGTTAGAAAATAGCTAATGAGAACCTCATAGTACAATTTATTACATCTATTGCAAACTGGCAGTATTTGTGCTGAAAGCAATGATTATGAACTATTGTAATATGCACAAACAGTTATTTTCTTCAAGATCAGCTTTATACACACCAAGGTAAGAAGTACCTCACGATATTTGACCGCGATTAAATCAGCCTTTTTTCCAATACTATATAAAAAATACAGTCCATATATGTGATTCAAAAATCGATATAAATATTTTGATGATTGTTGGGACATGTGTCTTGAAACGGATCAATTCTTCTGAAAATTGTTATGTCCCTGTTTTTGTAGACACTTCATTTCCTTCTTGCTTCAAAAATTATGTGTTTTGTGGGAGTTGGAGGGGGGCTGTAGCTCGGAGGGGGTGCATTTTTGAGCAAATGTTTACATGAAGAAAAAGTCTCATTTTGATCCCAACAATACATCCTAAAAATATTTACATCGAATTTTGAATCACCCTCTATAATGAACAGGCGTCCAAAATAAAAAATTGAAAATGGCATAAGTATTATAATTGTTCTGAGATTGACCTTTCCGCGGTCGCTTTGCAGGGTTGCGACGATCAACTGACCTTCAATTCCAATCATGATATTAATCATCAGGAAATTCAAGGAGAGGTAGAAAACTAAGTGCAAGTGTGAATATTTAACTAATCATCGTCAGTCCAACGTAAAATATTCATTCAACCGCACATTATTATAAATTAGAACGAATTTTCTTGTTCTGATAGGAAAGCCGCGACTCGATGCCGAAAACTTTCAAGTCAACACAAATTTATTTTGTATATCGTCGATGAGATGTTTTAACTGTATCTGGACAACAAATATTCTTGGGGGAATAGAGGAAAATATTGAAAGTAAAGGCATCAACACAATTGAAGTTTTATGCAAGTTTTATGCAATAAGATTTAAGAAGATATGTGTAATTGAAATATGAAACATGGTGCAAAACAGAAATAAAATATAAAAGCTGGAATTTCAATAATAAGCTGTCCGGCCCGGCTTCGCACGGTTGGTGTACCATTTAAAAAAAATTCATTTCTTGCAGTCATTCTGAGATATGCGGGTACACATTTTTTCATTTTGTTTTCAATTTTTTATCCTCACCTATAGCTACTATTATATACTCACACCTATATTCATTTTCTCAGTATCTTTTGTATTTTTTTGTTGTTGTTTCACATAATGAAAATTTCAACCAAATCGATTCAAGCCGTTTAGTAGTAGACGTACCGAAAGCAGCGCCACCTACCAATTGTATTTTTAAATCATTCAGGAAACCATCACACCCATATAAAATTTCAACCCAATCGGTTCAGACGTTTAGAAGTTATGTGAAAAAGATAATTAGGGATGGATAGTTGTTACTACCCGTTGTCCAATTATTTCCCGTTTTCCCCTATAGACCGTTGGCCCATAACACTAGGGGTGTCGATTATCTACGAAGGTATGCCCTTCAAGAGACATGAAGATTGAGTTGGATTATCGGGAAAAAAGTGGTTAGTTGGATCGGTACCCGGTCGCCCATCTCCCTAATCAATCAACTTCCTGTTGAAAGTAATGTTGAAAATTGTTTTATAGAAGAAGCTTTAAAATTCATTGGAATAGTCGCATCTCGCCAAATTAACCGGGCGCTAGCCGATTTGCATACGTCTAGGTCGGTCCCGAAGGGCGGCATACGGACCGCAAGTTACCATTAACCGACATTTCTCTCAGATTATTTACGATGGTATGCCCTTTGGTTAATTCCTTCATTTCGACCCATGAATCAATGCCATAACATTTGCATACAGTTTGGGTGGGCGAATTTAGACATATTCGGAGGTCACTTTACATCATCGATTATATACAGGGTGTTCCTAAACATCATGTACATCCGAAAGGGGGTAATTCCTCAGCTCATTTTAAGACTAAAAGTTCATATAAACATTGGTCCGCAAACGCTTTGTTACCGATCTACGGGGTGTTGAAATTTCAAGATTTTTTTTGTTTTTTCTTTATAGATCCTGCAGTTTTTGAGATATGTGGCTCAAATTTGAAACATAGATTATGTTATAGGGCTTACATCGATGGACATCTCAAATGTTTGTGAGAATCTATAAAAAAATTGAAATTTCAACACCCCGTAGATCGGTAACGAAGCGTTTTCGGACCTGAGTTTATATGAACTTTTAGTCTTAAAATGGTCTGAGGAATTACCTCCTTTCGGATGTACATGATGTTTAGGAACACCCTGTATATCAAGATTATATAATTTTATATGCCATTCAATCAGGTGATAGATTCAGTTATACTGAATAAGAAAATAGCGTTTGCATACGAATGTATTGTGAGCATACGTCGATTTTGCTATAGGGAGTCTATTTTTTTCAGTTTTTCTAATATTAAAAAGTTGAAACTGAAAATTCCAGGATGATCGAGTGCCGAGGGCTCTCAGGGAGGTTTCGGGGTCACTAAGCTCGAATCTGGCACCTACTACTAGTGCCGGGGGCCGGGGATGATAGAGGATGACTCTAGGGGGGATGTCAGGGGGCGCATCTCATTTGCAGAACCGGCAGATAGTCTTGTTGGATTCTATGAATCTGATCCTCTTGGAGTTACAATGGGAGTTCCTAAAGGATCAATCTTGGATCCCATGTTTTTTGTTATTTTCATGAACGATATTGTAATATTCCCCTGAGAGGGGCTCGAACATCATCAAGAAGGCGTATAACGATCTTCCTGTATCACGCGTATCAGATTGTTCCCGAGTATCCCAATAATTCTAACATGAATCAGCATATTTTCGAACACCCAATATGTGTCGCAGCGACAGAAACATCTCAAAACAATCGATGGAACTATTAGAGAGAGAGAGAGAGATACTTTTCTATGAGAAGCTTCGAGAACAAAAGAAGGGTACCGATGATTTTCGGGAACATTCGACAAGCATATAGCCAGCCAAATCATCTGATATATAAGGACGACAGGACAGCAGGTGGTCAGTGATTGTCAGAGAGACAGCCATATACCGCGTGATATAAATGGTTCGACATAAATAGTAGTTATATGTTTACAGTTGCAACTGTGAATTAGGAGATGTTTTGAAAAAAAAAAAAGATTCTCCTTCCTAATTTACAGTTGCAACTGTGAATTAGGAGATCAACAGTAAATTAGGCAAATATCCGTGAAAAAAAAGTTTTTTTAGGATGGCAGTTCAGACGCGTCGTACAGACATAATAATTAGTTTCTTAGTGGTTTTTGAACCAAAAACTGATTTTTCGAGACTTCGACCTCGAATAACTCGAAACGGGTAAATCGGGACGAGTTTTGTGTAAGTTCTAAAGTTAGAAAGAATTTTATTGTCGATATCTTGAGCTCTTACAGGATGTTGAACGAATTTTGCCGCCATTTTTGCTAATTTTACTGGGCTAAATGTAATCCCCGCAACTCGCAAATCGTATGCAAATCATTATTCCATGCATAGTTTATGCTTAACTAACCTTGATCAAAATTTGGGAGCTTCGTAGATAATCTTGTACATACAGGTCAATGATGTAAAGTGACCTTCGAATAAGTCTAAATTCGCCCACCCAAACTGTATGCAAATGTTATGGCATTGATTCATGGGTCGAAATGAAGGAATTAACCAAAGGGCATACCATCATAAATAATCTGAGAGAAATGTCGGTTAATGGTAACTTGCGGTCCGTATGCCGCCCTTCGGGACCGACCTAGACGTATGCAAATCGGCTAGCGCCCGGTTAATGGCGAGATGCGACTATTCCAATGAATTTTAAAGCTTCTTCTATAAAACAATTTTCAACATTACTTTCAACAGGAAGTTGATTGATTAGGGAGATGGGCGACCGGGTACCGATCCAACTAACCACTTTTTTCCCGATTATCCAAATCAATCTTCATGTCTCTTGAAGGGCATACCTTCGTAGATAATCGACACCCCTAGTGTTATGGGCCAACGGTCGCTTTCAATGGTAAAAGAATTTTTCAAATCGGTCCAGTAGTTTTGGAGCCTATTCAATACAAATAAACAAACAAACAATCAAATCTTTCCCCTTTATAATATTAATATTATTTATCAAACATATCTTCCAGTCAGAACAAGTTCTGGTATGAGGAGGGAGAACATAATTATAAAATAATAAGCAATAAATATCTATGAACTACTACACAAACATGAGTAGAAGTGAACATGAATAATAAATCATAATAAATCAGGATATCACAATTAATCACAATGAAGCAAAATAATCAAAAAAATCAATCAAAGAAAAACATTCAAGTCAAGGACAACTTTCTGATGAATTTTAAACATTTCTCTCAGAAATGATCAGTTTTTTCATTTTCTTCCTAAATGTACCTATATTTCTGCAGTTTTCGATTTTATCTGGTAGTTTATTGAACTCAGATAAGGCTGCATGAGTGAATCTTTTTTGCCCGAGTGTAGAACTAGCAGCATCAAGGTGAAATAAGTTATATTGTCTAGTTTGATGACTATGAATTTCAAAATTTCTTGTCAAAATAATATCAGATTTCAATTTTTATTCATGATATTATATAAAATTTTCTAGAGTCTCTAATCTGTACAGTTCTTCAAAAGAATATGTTTTTGTCAAGGCATACAGTTCAGTTGTTGGTGTATCATATGGAAGACAATACAGTATTTTAAATGATTTCCTATATAATGTTGATATTTTCTTGAAATTATTTTTAGACAAGATCCCCAAACAAATATTAAATAGGTAATTCGACTTAGTATATGTGAATAGAGTAGTATATTTGCAATTTTCATATTGAGTTTGGGACATTTTCTCAATGCACCAATAATAGGAGATATTTTCTTTGTCAGAACCTCAATTTATCATCAAACCAAATACCTAAATACTTCATCTGTTCAGTTTGTTTCAAGAATTCATTCTTTATTTGAAGATTGAGCTGAATTTTCTGTTTATTTCTTTGTTGAAAAATCATGTATTCAGTTTTTCTGGTATTTATTGATAAAAGGTTAGAGTGGAGCCATTTTTCAAATAATTTCAGATCATTATTCATCACAGTTTCTAAAATTATAGGATTTTTGTTTCCATATAAAAGCACTGTATCGTCTGCATATGTGGTATAATTACTCAATGAACCAACTTTCCTGATATTTTGAATATACAGCAGATACAGTATTGGCCCTAAAACATATCCATGTGGAACACCCTAATTCATTGACAGTTTATGTGACTCAGAATTAGCAGATTTGGTACTGATTGTCCTAGCTAAAATATTTCTCACAATGCCTCTGATTCCAAGTTATCCAAAAGTATTGTGTGGTCCACTGTATCAAAAGCCTTTTTTAGATCAATGAAAACAGCTACTATGTAATTTCCTTGATCAATTCCTTTTTGAATTGCTTCTATCACTTGTAATACTGTCGCTTGAGTGCCACTATTCATATAACTTGATACTAAAACATAAAACCTCAAATGTGGCGCAGCCGTAAGTGATCTTGAAGTTCATTATTTTTAAATAATCACCATTTCAACCAAAATGATGACTTCTAAAAAAAACTTGCAAGTTTGTCACTTTGTATACCAACCTCCTTCTTGGACCACTCCGGTATGTCCATGATAGTCGCCCAAATGATGCACGCCGTCTCGTGCTCTTGGATGTTCTCTTTGACGGCGATGTCCTTCACTTCGGCGATGATGTCGCGCAGCGGCTTGCTCTCCCCTAACGCGTCCGCCAGCAGCACCTGCAGCTCCTTCTTGGCCAGCTGCTGGTACTGGTCGTTGTACAGCTTCAGGATCTCCTCCAGGCCGTTGTCCTGTGAGGCAAAAAATGTGGAAAAATAGATATTTATTATTCAAGGAAAAAAGTATTCGATTTTTAGCTAGAGGTTGTTGTATCCCGATGCGAAGTGGAGGGAGAAAAAAAATCGAGAGCTAAAAACTTATATTTTCAACGTGTATAATACATCATTTCTCTCTGTGATGAGGAGAACGATGATTTAATATTGATAAAGGTATGTTCATGCTTCTACGAATTCCGCAAAATTTATGCAAATCGCAAAATATGAAATTCCCAACAGAATTCGACGTTCATACTCATGCGACAAAATTTGTAGGAGATAATGGTTCTGTTGTCATATACAATTGCTTTATTTTTGGTCCCACCATTGATAGAACTTCATCAAATGAAAGGCACGTGACAAGAAAGTAATTGAAATATTCATTAGGGTCATTCAGTCGCATTTATCGAACGAGGCTGTAATGATCTCCGTACATTTGTCGGCATTTAAAAATGCTTCCAACACTACAGCTACTTTTTTGCGTCTGGATAAATCATTAGCTCTATAGAGATGATACAAATAATGATACATTGGAATCATTTTTTTTTCATCTCCTGGTTCCTACGAAAAGGGATATCCTGTAATGTTCAGAGAACATCGCGAGAACCAAGGGTAATGAGTTAGGAATTGGTGTTCTTCTTAGATTTCTGGAGGTTATATGCCTCGGAGATCACCTCCTGCGAAGAAAATTTAATCAAATGAAGAAATGATAAAATTTGTACCAAATTATAATTCTGTACTTACCTGTAGACTAGTCTCGTCTTCTATCGACCTCTGCTGCCCGCTTCCTAATTCCCCAATTTTGATGTTATCAAAATAACAACATAATTATTTTATGCATACTGTGTAGTTAGAATTCCATTCGAATTCGTAAAAAAGTTCGAATATTTCAAATTCATTGCGATATTCGCCATTTTATTTGCATAAATTTTGCGGAATTCGTAAAAGCATGAACATACCTTTAATCAACTCCTACACGGAAGATGCTATTTGACAACGATGTGAGTCATGTTGACATCGATAAAAAATGATGCACCTTTTTTATCGCTGATAAACTGCCTGCTCCTTAGATCTAGTAGCTATTTGCGCCTGATTTCACTCCAATTTATGTCATGTCAAGTTTGATTGATGGGTATGGTTCACGCGTAAATTAGCAAGATGAGCCGTTTTAGGAAAATTTCGTCTGAAGAAACCACGAAAATATGAGAAAATCAATTCCGCAAAATACCAGTTACACGAAATCATCTATATAGGTTATCATTGTTGTTTATTTGTATATTGTCGTTGATTCATCTTACCAAAAAACACTCGACCTTTTTTTTTATTGGAAAAATTTCCTTACTATCAAACATTTTCCATCAGTTATTTCTCTCGAAAAACTGACATTAGACAAAATTGCTCGACCAATGGTCTCGCAATTTTTTCATGTCAGGTTTTCTCGTAAAATGACTGATCGGCAAATGTTTTTCTTTACCAACAGAAATTTATCCGATAAAAAAAGCTCCTGTTTTTACTGTTGAAAAAAAGATTACAATTTGCAGGGTGATACAAAATTCGATGTGAATATTTCAAGAACATATTGTTGGGATCAAAATAAGACTTTTTCTTTATATAAACATGTGTCCTTAAATGCACCCCCTCCCATTGTAAGTTAGGCAAAAAAAAAGATTATTCAAGATTGTGACTAAAATAATGAACCAAACTTTCTGAAAATTGACAGGCCTCTGTCTTTTTGGACACTTTATTTTCTTCTTGCTTCAAAAATTATGTAAACCCAGTTTTGTGGGAGTTGGAGGGGGTTCCACGCTTTTATTGCCCCAAATCCTATGTTCAAAAAGATAAACTCTTGACTTTGAATTAGATGATCTTATGGGCCATAAAGAAACGTAAGAATTTGCTATCTTGCATTTTTTTACCAACAACTAACCGTTAGCCAGAAAATCGTAACTAAAGAAAGGGGAAGTCTACGACATCATTTTCGAACACAATGGGTTAAATGCTTGCATACGGAGGTGATCGTATGTCGGAACGCATTTGACACTGATATTTTAGAGGCGTGTGGTACTGGAATACTTGCACTTATTATCATCATGATCAAGATTGACACTGACATTAACGTTTCTGGAGAATACAGCATATCCTATTAAAAAAAACAATACAACCCCTACAGAGCAACCCAGATTGATCGTGTCATTAAGAATGATAAACCTCTGAACTGCAGATAGTAAACACTAAAATATTGAGATTTTGCCTAACATGTCTGATAATATAATGTTGCTGGTTTAGGAGTGTTCTATGGGGACATTTTATTTTTAAATTCGCCAATAACTGCGTAAGTTTCAACATCATGAACATGAAATCTTGTAGTTTCGGGTTTTCTGATATGAGGAATACGAATTTTAAACTTATTTTGTGATTGCTCTTTGAGGGCCCCAGTGGCACTCTGTTGCTTAGGTAAATTACATCATAATTATTTTCTTCTACCATTCAAAAATTATGACCAGATGAAGATTTTGCCAAAATTAGGATAACGTCCTGTATCTCAGTTATAAAAGACGGTCGACACATCAATGAAGGGTGATTTGGAACCATCAACGACTCCGAATGATGACAAGGAGTTTTTATGAACTGAGAGATATTTTAGACAGAAAAAATCTATTCATCATCTATAATTCACTAGCAGAATCTGTCCTTAAATACTGTATAACTGTTTGGGGCGGAATGTACAACAACACACTCTACCGGCTTCAATCTACACAAAATTCCATTCTGAAGATCATTTCCAAAAAAAACTAGGGTTTTTTCAACAGAACAACTTTATAAAGATACAAAGCTCCTGAATATCAGAAGTTTGTATTCATATCAATGTCTGTTGTGGATGTTTGATAATAAGAATAATTTTGAAAAAGGCGAGACAGTGACACGATCGGTAAAGAATCTGTCCATCAAAATTCCTAATTTCAAAAAAAGTCGTAGGCAAAGGTTTATTTTTCATTATGGGCATAAACTGTACAATATGCTTCCCCTGGATATAAAAAAAATCATGAAAATTAGGAGTTACAAATTGAAAATCAAAATTTATGTCACTGAGACTCCGACTGTACTTTGTATTTTCAACTGAGAAACTCAATTCATTCTTCCTATTCATTCCTTTGTTTCTATTTCCGTATTCGAATTCTATCCTATTGATTTTTTATTACAACCTAGTAGGTAAAATGTGAGCTACACTCGTCTCAAAATATTAATTATTATTATATATTGATGTGCGGTGCAGAGTAGACGTATTTGCTGTGCTCCGGTTAAAAACGTTCATACAAACACGAAAATAGTGATTTAAGTTGCGAAATTTGTTCATCGAATCTGTAAACAAGTGATAGACGTGTGAAACTCAAAAAAACTTGGAAATGGTTCTTACAAGGGAAGTTACGGATGAAATAAAAACCGTTGTTAATGCAGCGCTAAGCAAATATCTGAAAGATCAATCGTTTATAAAAACGATTTGCGAAAACGTGTCGACAGCAGTTAGTAAAACAATGGAACAAAAACTTACCCAAATCGAAGAAAAAGTGATGAACCTCCAAACGGAATTCTCTCAAATGAAAAAAGATATGGAAGGTAAAATTAATAGGATGGACATGGAAATCAAATGTCTTCAGCAGGGAAATAACGGATTGGAACGAAAATGTGACATACTGGAACAAGCTACGAAAATTAACAATCTCAGAATTTTCAACTGCCCTGAAAAAACCAGAGGAAATCTTGAAGATGAAGTAGTTGAACTATTCAATTCAAAAATGTCAGTAAATATGACGAAAAACGATATTGATGTCTGCTATAGAATTGGAAAGAAAGAAGGAAATAAGCCTAGGGGTATATTTCTTAAACTGAGAAATCATGAGATGAGACAGGATATTTATAGAAGAAAGAAATTATTGAAAGGGACCGGAATCGTTATTAGAGAAGATCTGACAAGCCTGAGAGTGGAACTACTGAACAGATCCATAGAAAAAACCTCAATGAAAAATGTCTGGACTGATTCGGGAAATATTTTTGTTAATTTTAATAACAAGTTATTCATTATTAAATCAAAGAGTGATTTCGAAAAGTTTATAAGTGAGATTTCACGCTCAAATTGATCATGTATGTGAGTTTAACTATATTCATTATCGTGTAACCATAACTGTATAGCATCAAATAGTGAAAAATAATAAGAATAATTAGTTAACCGTGAGCACCTAGCTTTACTTGCCTAGCATAAATTCGTCAATGTTAGATTTCCTAGACTTATTGGATAATCAAAAGGAAATTAAAACGACAGTTTTTGGGAATCTACATGAATATTTCGATTCAACAGAAATTAGTGAGAGAGGTGGACATTCGACAACAATTCTACATTTCAACGTGAGAAGTATTAAGAAAAATTATAATGAGTTATTAGTTTATTTAGAGAAAATAACCGAGTTCATAGATGTGTTAGTTTTATCAGAAACATGGAGTATCCAAGCGGTGAGTGATTTTCATATACCCAATTTCAACCTTTATTATAATAGCTCAGTTAAGAATCAAAATGATGGCCTACTTGTCTATATAAAAGATAATTTTCCTGCCGAAGTAAAAGTTGTGAATTTGACAGATACAAATTTATTGAGGTTATCCATGAATATTAATATTAAACTAATAGGCATAACAGCTTCTTATAGACTTCCATCGATTGATACATATATCTACCTAAACGATCTAGAAAATTATTTCACCAATTTACAAAAAGAAAATATAGAAATATTCGTAGGAGACATCAATATAAATCTAATGGATAAATTATCAGATGAAACTCATGCTTATTTGAATATGATGTCATCATACATAAATGAACCAACTAGGGTAACAGAAATTTCAAGTAGTACCATAGATCATTTCTTTGTCAGATGTAACCAATTTGATATTAAATTTAATCCAGCTGTCATTCACACTAATCTGACTGACCATTATTCAATCCTCTTAGGTATATCAAGTGACAACACGAATGGAATTTCCACTAACAGACCACGTGAAAATCACATAAAATATACTGATCTTGAAAAACTCAATGCAATTGTATCAAATGCTAACTGGAATGAGGTCATAAACTGTATTGATTCACAACTTGCCTACGATAAATTTATCAATAAATTAGGAACTTTCATAGATTCCACTACTGTAACAAAAAGATTTAATTCCAAAAAAAGTTACAAAATCAAGCCTTGGATAACTACTGGTCTGGTAGCTTCTATAACACATAGGGATCTTCTAAAGCAAAGACTGAGAGTGACTTGCACGGAAGAATTAAAAAATGAATATAAAACATACAGGAACAAAGTTAATCAGTTGATTAAGAAAACCAAAAATCTATATTACAAAAATAAACTAAATAATGTTAAGGGAAATGGAAAAAAAACTTGGGAAATCATGAACGAAGTAACAAACAGAAATAAAAAAAAAACAATCACTAGAAAGTATATCCATAAAAAATTCAAGCGGAGAAATAGTAGTGGACAATAAAAACAAAGCTGACACTTTCAATGAATTTTTCACGAATGTAGGAATTGAGATGGCTGAAAAAATAAAAAAATGTGAATACCTTCCAGAGAATTTTCTACATGACCCATTAATTTCCTCATCAATATTTCTGCAGCCGGTCACAAATAATGAGATCACAATATTAATAGCAAATTTGAAAACTAATTGTGCACCTGGGCCTGATGGTATATCTAGTAAAATTATAAAAAAAATTCATCATAACATTGTTACACCCTTGGCACATGTTATTAACCTCTCATTTTCTACTGGGAAAATACCAAGACAATGGAAAGAATCTCTTGTAACCCCCATTTATAAATCAGCCGAGCATAATGTCCTGAGCAATTATCGACCGATTTCTGTGATTAATAATTTCGCTAAAATTTTTGAACAAAGCATTAAAAGTAGACTAACTGCATTCTTCGATAAACACAATGTGATAACAGATAGACAATTCGGTTTCAGAAGTAATTCAAATACAGAAAAAGCAATATTGGATTTTATTGAAAAAACTGTCGATGCTTTGGACAAGTCAGAAAGATGCTTAGCTATCTTCCTAGACCTTGCCAAGGCATTTGACACGGTGTCCCATGATATTTTACTGAAGAAACTCGAAAATTACGGTGTCAGAGGTAACGCACACAATTTGATGCGAGATTATTTATCACAGAGGTCGCAAGTGGTCAAGATTGACAACTGTCTAAGTGATCCTATTCATGTTAAAATCGGTGTTCCACAAGGAACAGTTCTGGGTCCAGTACTTTTTCTAGTTTATATCAATAGTATCACCTCAATAAACAACTTCAAAGGAAATATAATCTCATATGCTGATGATACAGCCATTGTATATAGGGGAAACTCATGGCTACAACTACAAGCTGAGTCAGAAATTGATCTTGGTAAACTACAAACTTGGCTTAACCACAATCTATTGAGCCTCAATGTTAAAAAAACTAAATTCATATCATTTTCTATCTATAAAACGGAGCAACCACCTTACAACTCCTTAACAATACATGGTTGTGATAACACACAGCCATGTAATTGCCCTTCTATAGAGAAAACCTCAAGTATCAAATACCTTGGTATAATTCTCGATCAGCATCTGAGATGGGATGATCATGTCTCCCATGTTGTCAAAAGATTAAGACAATTGATTCACAAATTCTACAGCATCAGAGAGATCTTGAGTAAAAAAAACTTAATGATACTATATGATTCATTAGCCGAATCAGTTATTAGATACTGCATTACAGCGTGGGGAGGATTATTCAGTAATATGATGATGAAAATACAATCAATGCAGAATACATTACTGAAAATAATACATAAAAAAAATAAACTATTTCCTACTGAACAACTCTATAGGGAAATTCAAATATTAGATATAAGAAGCCTTTATGTCTACCAATGTTTAATTTGGATGTTTCACAATAAAGACAAATATGACACTCCCAAATTGAGGCACACCAGATTTGTCGAAAATAATTCAATTGTCTTACCAATATTTAGGAAAACGCATACACAAAGATTTATTTTTTTTTATGGACCAAAATTACATAATTTGTTACCAAATCATATCAAAATCACTAACCGTTTGGCAAAATACAAAATTGCAATCAAACAATTCATATTCCAGTATAAGGATGAAAATATATTGAAAATTTTTTGATAATAAAAAAAAATTGTAATAAAAAAAAAGCTGAAATCTCTAGCTTCACTTTCTCACAATAAATCCCAGCATATGTATTACTTTCACCTCTCGCGTTCGCTATATAGATTCCTAAAGTTGTCGTTTTATTGTATTTCTTTTTTTTTTCTCTTTGTTTTTACCATTTTATCTTTTTAATCTTTATTCTTAAATCTTGATAAACTGACTAATTTCACGATCTGTTCGCTTACATCGAATTCATCCATAGACCACTCAAAAATAACGTAATGCTACGATACAAGCATCTCGATTGCTTAGGTGGATTACTTGTTTTTGAAGTGGAAACATAATGACAACATTGTATCAAAATATTCTGTAACTTATGGTATCTGAATAAATCTGAATCTGAATTATATTTATTCCCACAATGAAGCATAGAACACCACAACACAAGCATTCAAGTGCTTAGGTGGATTCTGTCCTTCTGGTGGGGGTGTAATGTTATAATCTCATAATCTATATAAATTGTATCACATATTATTATGAATAAATCAATCAATCAATCTCTATCTGCAGGTATCGAATGTACATTCAAATCAGAAACATCCTGTCTAATATCTTGGAATAAACTACCCACTAAGTAAATTTGGAAGCTATGTTGATGCAAGGTTGTGGCACTCACGGAAACGGACGTTCTGCAATATTGCAAATGTAACTTTGTAAAAGAAACGTTCCAGCAATGTCACAGAAACATGTAATATTGCTGCAAAGCTACATTATCGAACTTCACCTTTGCAACATTGTTAAACGTCCGTTTCAGTAATTGCTTCAACATTGCATCAACAAAGCTTCCAACTTTGCTTAGTTGCCTCACCTGAAAGGCATTCCGAAAGTAGACCTGCGACTGCTTCGTGTCAGGCACGAAGCTGATGAGATGCGATTCGATGTTCGACTTCTTGATGGACGAGTACAGCGAGTTGACGCCCTTCTCCTGCCGCCACACCTTGAACATGTCGATGAGGAAGTCGAGGGCGAGATGGTCCTTGACCAGATGCGGATTGTTCAGCACGAGGACGGCGTGGAACGGCACCGAGCCGTTCGCTATCCACAGGTACAGCATCACCGACAGCTTCTTGCGGTCGGACGGCTGGAAGTACTTGACGAACAATAAGATTTTCTTGATTTCATCCTGGAAGAGACGATAGCCAGTGAATGCCGTGCTTCCAAGAAGGATTGAAAATATAGACCCGGGAGGCATATTAAAGGACGCACCCTGAATCGACTCGACTCGGCACAGTCAGCATGTCTTCAGCAGTTCAGCAGCCATTTAGTTCGAATCAATAATAATACAAGAGAAAATGAGTTCAATTGAATCCGAGGAAGATATTAGGATGGCTTCAACATGCCAAGAAATAGGAAAAACATTTTTTATTTATTCATTTTTAAAATAACATACATATCAGCGTACTATATTGAATATAATATATTTTTTTTTTATAATATAAATGATCACAAAAGTTGAAAACTTGTCCATGAGATTGAAATTTTTTTTCTTCCACTGACTAACTAAAATTCATTTTCTCATTGATTACAATCAACATATTGAATACATTTTTATATCTTCTGAAAATAACTATAAAAGACATTAAATGTTGCCAAAGAATTTTATGATATAATCAAATTTCCAAAATTTCTGAATTCTCAATCAACCACGATTTGATTTTTTTCTTGAATCCAAGGTTCTAATCCATAACATCAATCTCAAAAGAGAAACATATGGAACCGTATGGCACCTATATGAATGTGCTAGAAAGTGCTAGAAGGGACAAACACTGTCAATTACTTTCAGTATTCGTACGTAGTTTGAGACAAAGGAGTGTATGGAGGAAGCTGCAAATTCAAAGTAATGTCCCCAAATGATCTCCAAAATAAGCACTACTACACTATACATTCGTATAGGCTCCATATCATCTTCTTTTGACATTGATGTTATGGATTAGAACCATGGTTTTCGTTTTTCAATTTCTTCGCAAGTTAAGGCAATCGTAAAATCTTCCTCATATCCACATGAACTCATTTTCTCTTGTATGAACATTTGTACTATAAACGGCTGCTGAAGACACTGTATGTACAGATACTGCCGATTCAGGGCGAGGTATAAGCTGACGTACAGACCGTTTCAAGCCGAGCCGATCCGACCGATACGAGTCGATTCAGTGCACGTGCTCCTTAGAACCACGCGCACTGAATCGACTCGGCACGTTTTGCTATGCATGCAAATTAATGCATTGTCGCGCACTGAATCGGTACGGTCGGCTAAGACCAGCCAGATTCGTCTCGGCATCGGCAGAGAATGGTAGATGGGTCAAAAACTGTCGATTGAGCCGATGGCTCACAGTGCTTTTCCGTTTTTTGAGCCAAAGAAGGGTATAAACAAATCTGCAAATTTGAAGTTATGACGGATATATCATATTGTATAATCCTTAAAATAGGTACTACTCCGACAACATTTGTATGTTTCCTCTTTTGAGATTGATGGATCAGTACCTTGGTTTTCGTTATTCTATGTCTTCACATGCTAAGGCAATCAAAATATCTTTCATAGATTCAGATGAACTAATATTCTTTTGTCTTCAATCTAAACTAAACGGTGGCCGAAGACATACTGAATGTGCCGATTCAGTGCGCGGTATAAGCTGCCGTACCGACCGTACAAAGCCGAGTCGACCGATCCGAGTCGATTCAGTGCACGTGTTCCTTTGTACACACCCTCCCATACGACGGCACCAGCGTGTATGTGAGCCTGTGTAGCCAATAGTGATGCTACAAAAGCCTACTGATTTAGGCACACAAGCCTACAGAAAAGTTCCGGCCGAGAGTTTCGCTCACAGTACTATCAAAGTGAAATCGACCGACCCAGGCACTGAACCCGGGTCGCCGGCGTCGCGTTCAAATACCCAATTCACGAAGCCTACTTGCAAAATTTTATATAAGTATTCATAATACGCGTAGGTGCCTATATCAGTGACCTTTTGTAGCGTCACTATTGGCTACACAAGCTTTTTAGCACACTGGTGCCGTTGTATGGTAGGAAGTGTAATTATCGGACAGGGAGTCCACAACGTGTTTTTTTTGTCTCATTTATTTCTCAGCAGTATAAGAACCCCTCAAATTCCTTCGTAGTCATAAAATCAAATATTATTTGTTACCATTCGGCAATGCTGTTTTGCCATACAACTATGTCACTTCTGCTGATTCACATTCTTCGACTGTTGCATTTATATAACAACTCTTACTAATATCTCTCGATTATGTTCAAATAATATTCTAAACAGGATGGTTCAAGTGAAGTGCTACTATGAATGATCTTAATATTAGCTAGTAATAATGATTATAATAATGATAGGAATACGGATAATATCGATTTGAAATGAATTATTATTTACTAGCCAATCCTGTATCAACTATAAGGATTGATTTCTAACTGAAGAAATCTCACAGTTGGCATACTGATGTTGGAAGTTTCTGAGTAATAAAGTCCACGTGACAGGACCATTTCTCAAAAATGATAGGCACTCCTCTATAACTTAGTGTGTGGCTTTTTTTTTAAAACTCTACCATCCTTTTTATTTGCGAAAATACAGGACAATTTACAATACGATTTAAGAAATATCAATTTTACAATTTTTTTATCTCTAGCAGCGCACGAAAAGGTATCCCTATACTGTTCCAGTAACTTCGTGCGTACCTAGGGAGGAAAGGGAAGAGGTAGGTATCGGAATTTGTTTTGAACTTTTGGAGATTATAAGTTATTGGGAATACTTCATTCGGCAAAGAATTCCAAAACTTTGCCGTTCTATAGACAAACGAGTTCTGAAAAAATCAGCTGGTTGGTAATAAATTATGACGTTATTTTGACAAATTCCAACATTTTATTTAATTATTTTATAATTGAACCTCAAAATAAAGTGTTGAAAATTTGATTCCAACACATCAAAACATTTTTACCTTAGTTTAGAATCTGACACACACGAGAAGAACAAGGATGAAAAATCAAGCTGAAAATTAATCATGAAGATTCTCAACTTCACGGACTACTCAATCTGTGACACATGTATTTAAGAAAATTGAAATTTCTCCAATTAACTACTATAAAATATGAAAATTTCAATTATTGACCTGTGATTTCAGTGCTTGTCACACAATCTTAGAATCAACTTCAATTGAAAAGGAGGAATTCGATCGAATTTAGACTAAATTATCTTTTCCAGTAGAAAACTCAAAAATATGAATTTTCTGCAACTAGATTGCTCGTTTACCTTTTTAAATTCAGCAAAGAGTTATATGAACTTTTAAAACTTCATTAATTTAATGCCGTTTAGCCGCCATTTTGAGAGAATTTTTCAAAATGGAATGGGATACCTCAAACGTCTTTCAATACAACAAATCACAACACCAGAATTTCCTCAGACCCCATGAAAGATATGTAACCCAGCCGTTCAAAAGAAATCTAGGAAGTAGGGAGGGGATACTTTATGGACATGGTGTGAATGAACATGTAAAGGGAGGAAGATATGATAAGTCTTCTTTTCAGCAGAAACATATCCATGTACCTGTTTCCCAAAACGTATGATCGCAAAGCTTCAGAATCACTTACGATTTTTCCGGACTGTCACTGCTTGTCGAGTGTCCGTACTCTGAATATACGAAAACGTCAAATACATTGAAGTAATATTATTTGAAATAGGTGGAGGTTGTAATGGTAGTTATAAGAGGTAATTTATCAAACAAAAAACGGACCTGAAATAGTTTCTCCAAATATTTATAACGACGCATGAGTTTGATGAACACCTGTTCCCAGTTCTTCATTATTTCCATGTTGATTTCATCCGGGGTATTGAATATACATGCTTCGGTCCTGTATGGTCCGTCACCTTCTTGTGAAAGTGTACCTCCTGGAACTGAAATGAAAGATACAATGACAATGAATATAATTGAATAACATGAATTGGGAAACGAAAAAGCTGCAATAGTGAAAGAGCTTAAAACAAAATCTAGATTGCACATAAAATATTATATTGTTGAGAAACTTACCCAATATACCTCCTGCAATGAGTACGTCAAAGAGACTTTCGCCATATCTACGGTAATCGAGTTTATTACCAGCAATGTCCAAATATCGAGAAATTGCTTCAAAATCGTTAGCACATTTATCAAGTCCAGAAATTACCGCATCCCTAAATCCTGTTGGATCATACCTCTCTTTTTCATCTGAAAATAAAAATTAATATGTTATCACTCCGGAATTTGTGAATTGTTAAATTGTGAACTGTGGACTTAGAGCACTGAAACATAAGGTACGCGAAAGTGATTATTAAAAACAATCTCTTTTTTTTGTGTTCATATATGACCGAAACTAGCCTGCTGTTTGATATTCTCAATGATAAAAAAACTCATGTAATGAGGCATTTCAAACAAATTGAAGATGTTTCAAGAATTATGTAGTACCTATTCAAGGCCAACTAATAATCAACATGCCAGTGGATCGTAAGTGTTCTTTTGTTTGTTCACACATACAGGGTGTTTCATTAGGAAAGGTAAATACTTCAACTGTGGATAGGGGCCACTGAGGTGATTTGAAAAAAACCATGGTTAATGGGCCTTCTTCGACATCTTATAACCGAGGCTCGGTGGTCGAGAGCGTGAAGGCGAAGAGTTCGTATGGGGACTCCCATTGAGACATGGGTTCGAATCCTAGTCAGGCCATGGATGTTTGTGTTTGTATGCTTACCTAACCCCGCACAAGTTTCGACTTATGGGGCGTTTGGTCCCAGTGCTGGGACCAACGAGGTAATGTAATTGCAAAAAAAAATACGACGGGATGTTCTATCAATTTTGTGAATTTTTTTGTTGTCTCATAACTTTCCAACCAACCTATATTTTTGGAAAATTGGTTCACCTACTCAATCTATCCTGTCGAATTGATTGAGGCATCAACAAGAGATAGAATCCAGGTCCGGCTTCACATGAAGTTTACAAACTCTTTCTGCCAAAATGTCGATTCAAGGATGTATTTCCATTTATGCACAGACGATTTTAAATACTCATATGATGTGCTCAAACTATTATCTTTGCTCATTTTTGAAGGTAGCCACAATAATGATTACAACTAAATTGGAAATAGACAATAAAGAACACAAAATCCAAAATAGTACATTCACATACCCACTACCTAATAATACAATAAATGATGAAAAATAAAAAAAACTCTTTTTAGTACACTTTTTACATACAACACTACAATAATTGGGTTCAATGGGCGAATGGACTGATGATGAATTATTGAAATTCAATTACTCCGCTGTGTCGTTAGGAACCTAAATTAATTTTGGCAACACTGCTCACGCTTTCTTTATGTGAATAATAAGTCTATGCATAGTTCAAAATCGTTGAATTTCAGAGCTCACTTCAAACGTAACGTCATTGCCGCCATTTACGCAATACGTCGAATAAATGGTGACGTCAGTTTTTATGCTATTTTGTTATTGGTCAGACAATCTTCCATTTCCACACATAAAGCAAGGTTGTCAAGTCACCAATTAGTTATCAAACAGATGTAAGAGTCATGTCGTTGAATAAAACATAATAGGAGGAACTCATGACATTATAGTTCATTCTTGACTTTTTCAAGCAACCAGCATGTCCAAATATTTCTAATCCTTCATAACAAAATATCATGTGAATGTTAGAGATTTGGCAACATTGTGCTGAATGCTGAGGGGTTGTCACGTTCACCGATTTCAATTTCGTCTAGTGTGAATTAATTTAATTATTATTTTCACAAATTTATTATGAGCAATGAGCCAGGGAACATTTTGAGACAATTGATTTTTAATTGCTAATTAGGAATATTACCAATACTAGAGAATGAAATTTAGGACAAATTGCTGCAACTAAAAATATATTTTGGTAAAACTGCATTTATCATGCGATTTTTTTCGAAAATGTTTTTTGGTACTAATGTATTTGTGCCTGAAAAACACGAATTTGATAATGAAAATGTGAACTATTTATAGAGATGTTTGAAGAAAAAGTTAGAAATTTCGCCATCTTTTCCCCCTCGTGTTAGATGCAATTAATTACATCATCAGGTACTACTTGCTCTTTTTATTTTGTCATTGGACACTTTATATACTCATGATATTCGTCAATGACACATTTATATATAGAAAATTCAACAGGAAATATGATTTTCATGGCGAGTTTTTCATATTTAGTTGAACAAGCATAAGAGATGACGGCCATTTAATCAAGTCAATGATTTTGAATGACATTACACACGCCATTATTTTAAATTATATTCTTCCTTCTTTTCACTAAATATGGATAAATCACAAGAAAATCATGTTTCTAGTTGACTCATATAATAGAAAAAAATGTGTCGTACATTGTGATATACATAAATTGTCCAATGATGAAAAAAGAAGAGCAAATTGTTCTAAATGCGATCCAGAATACAGGCGGAAAAGAAGGTGACATTTGTAACTTTATAGTGAAATATCTTGATAAATAATAGTTTGTTCACATTTTCATTATCAAATTCGTGTTTTCAGACAAAAATACGTGAGTACATGATAAATGCAGTTTTACCATTTCCTTTATTTTCGTGGTCCAAAGAGGAAGTAAGTTCTATATTATTTTATTATTATTGTGATTGTATATTGGGTGAAGTGCGTGCGTATTTTACATCTATTTCCGATTTATTGACAATGAGTTGATCGAAATCAATACTCTTATCGTAATGAAAATCTGCCATCACTTGTGGTCCAGAATTATTCAAAATTCAAACCATTTCAAACTGATGTTTATTCCATATTAAACCATTTCAAACTGATGTTTTTTCCAAATTAAAAAACTTAAGCCGAAACACGCACGCGTGAAACTCAACGTTGTGATTGGTCTAAACGCCTGCCTATGCCTGTTACCGTGGCATTATTGATGATTTTAGCACCTAACCTAACCTAACCTAACCTAACCTAACCTAACCTAACCTAACCTAACCTGCCTATGCCTGTTACCGTGGCATTATTGATGATTTTAGCACCTAATGATGATTTTATTTGAAGAATAAAAAAAAGTCTACTCGCCTATTGTCTAGGATGTTGAAAACCCATGAAAATCATTACTTGCAAGTTGCCTACATTGAAAAAAAGTTACAAATCTGACAGTACCGGCCAGTTTATATTACATTTTCCCAAGAAGGGAAACTGTAGAGAAAGTGCCATGACATTTAATTGATTACAAATTAATTTCGATATAGGTACCAAGATAGGTACATACATACTTTTATTCAATTCCGATCTAGATTCTGCAGGTCAGTTTATTAATACGTATATGTTGCACAAGGTCGATAAACTTGAAACGGTTGACTCATGTATATTATAACTGTGCATTCGAGTTTTTGCCTTAGACCAGGGACGTCCATGACAGGCATATTGAATATCTGTTTTCCTGGCAGTGTTTATTCCACCAATCAAATTTTTCCATTTTTATGACAAGACTTTTTTATGTATAAGTTTCACCAAATTCCCTGAAGGTTGAGGCAGGGAGAAAAGCTGATAGTTTGTATCGGCATTGGTGATGTAAATTCCCATTTTTCTTGATATTGTTTTTTAACCGGATAGTGATAATCTGAATAATTATTAATAGTTGTTTGTGTGTATGTATCAAGGATTTATGAATAACAAAAAACAACCTTCTTATGCATGGATGAATAATTGAATTGCAAAGACAAATAATATATTCTGAACAAACATTGAAAATAAGAAAATGTTGATCACGTTCGGCTAAAAAAAGCACCAATATCCAATATCAACTGGTCATGGGTGATATTAGCCAAAAGCAAGAAACTTAAATGAGAGAACATTTTTCTCATCAACTCTATCTTGAATGGAAAACCAACGTGACTATTCCATGCAGATCTGCTGCAATAATAGTTATTTATGTATCAATTGCGTAAAATGGGCTTTTATGGACCGTAGCCAAGGTCCAAAAAAGTGATACACATACATTTTATGCACGACCGTTATATTTGATATTTCATTGTGAATATCCATTCACCTCTCAAGAACGATATAACTAACTACATCATAGCGAGGGTTACAGCCATCTGAAGGATTTTTGTGAATATTTTCGAAACCATCTGTGATAAAATAACCAAATTTTGTTGTGGACGGGACGTTGGGGAGGTTTATCAAGAATAAGACAAAACTTCTAAATTCGAAAAATCAGGGGTATACAAACTCAACAGTAATCTAGTCCTAAGGTATATATCGGTCAGACAGGTCGTACGTTAAATCAGCGCATTCATGAACATAAGATGATTTTTTTGAAAAAGAAAACAAATTCGACATACGCCAACCATATTGAATCATTAGAAACCAACAAACTCAAAAATTCTAACATTTTACTTAACGATCAACTAGACCTCAATAGTTCACCACTGTTGAATTTGTTTTCTTAGTAGGTGATAATATGTATTTGCTATCAACTCTTTCAAGTTAATCCGGTACACCGTAGATATTGTGCCTATTTTCCGAAAATGAAGGTTCATCGAACCTTTCTACAGGTAATTCTAATCCTTCAGGTTGGGAAAGTAGGATATATAAAAGTTAGGCAAGCCAAGGTTAGTTTATTTCATTGTACCAATATTTCACCTGAAGCTACATTAAGAATTTTGTGGCAATCTTATCGATTGTGAAGTTTTTACATTTGCTATGGATTTCCATCGAGTAACGGCCAAGTCAATTCAAAATTTGTTGTGTCTAACTTTTCATGCAAAATTTGAAGGATCTTCCGATATTTTGATCAGGGGCGTGGCAAATAGGTGGGGCTAGAGGCACTTTTTCCCCCAACTTCTTTGTTCATCTAATTTTCGGAACTTTGACTATGGAATATGAGAATATCATCTTTTGTGCTAAAAAAATTGTGCTCTTGTTTAGTTTTGACAGCACTCACCATTTTCGAGATGAATCGATTTTGAACATCTGCTGCGTAACAAAAATAGTTATTTGTTTTACTAGGCAGACTAGTACAAGTTTCAATGCCGCGGCTGGCGACCAGCCAAGGCATTACATCTTCTTTTCTGCCATGTGAAACATATCATTTTTTCTCCAAATACTTTTCAATTTCACGCAAAGTCCAAATAATCCATCATATTTTTTCACCCAGTCATTGTCAATTTTGATTACCAATTTGATTCAAATTACTTG